AGAAGTAAGAGCCGGCGAAGTTGTGTAGAGCAGGAAAGAATGATGTCCTTCCTTCTAAGAGAGGAATTTGAAGGAGGAAGTGGTTGTTAGTGACAAAATCTCCAGAAAGATGAAGTAGTTAAAGAAAGGAAACTGTCCATTGAGCTATTACCATGAAGATCTCAAGGAGGAGTGCCTCCATGGTGTGGTGAACATGGAGGCATTCAGTTGTTGAGAAGTCAAAGCACTAGTGACAATGAGTTTACCATCCTTTCTAAATGTGTAGCTATAAAGAGAAGGCAAAAATAGATGCTAGTGTTGGATGGCAGGACTGTCTTAGCTATGAGAAATTGGAGCATTGTGAGCTGACCAGAAAGGGCCAGCATAGAGGAGAAGTTGATGGTAAAGGGGAGGGAGTTCATGGCTGAATGGTGCAAGGTTTGAGGCAGAGATCAATCCTGGGTCAAGAACCATGTGTTGTATTTTGGTTCTGTGGGGAATTTAGATATGTTGTTATGTCTCTACCCTAAAACACTTTACACCCAGTATATGGAGATATATCCCCAGTCATAAGTGGCATACCTGTGTATTTATGTGTTTTTCAGAATAATGTAGATGGGTAGTAGACCTATTTATACACTTACATGAAGAGACCAACTTATGACTTGTAGTTGATCAAAATGTTTGCTTGTTAATTACACTGCTGTCTTCATTCCCAGATTTTGCTAGCATTAGGTCACCTAATTTTTAAGTTGTACTCACTGCTATACTGTTGTAATCTTCCACATCTTAGGAGAACTTTGTCTGAGGTTGCGCCTCAGTGTTCTTTCCAGAATAGAATGGGGGCACTGTAAGCCTCCACCATAAGAGGATTTCTGAACATTCATGGACCCGTGCATTGGTTTTTTCTAAGACCTTGTAATATCCTGTGGAAACTGAGAATTGGATGATCCTTGAATTTTATGTAAACTTTTGGATTTTCAGTCCACATGGACCTTCAGAAAGTGGTTTAATCCACATTATAGATCTTCCCCAAAATGAGATAGGCCCTCAGTTTTTGTGATGATCCTAAGGAAACCCATTTATAAAGAATGGGAGATTCAAAGGCATTTACCTGAGAACTTACATGTAGTTGATGACTGAATGGGAACTATGAGACCAGCTTTTGACTCTTATTTCTTTGTCCTAAATACATATTGTCTGTAGCAGGAAAGCATATAATAGCTTCCATTGCAAAATCATTACTGAATCAAATACTCTAGCATCATGAATTCAGAAAATGAGTAAACAGGTGAAAGTTTTAGTGGGTCCCACACAGTCAAGAAATAATTTCTTCTTATATCCAAACTAGTTGTGAGTTTATAACTTAAAATAATTATGTTTGCTCAGGCCCTGGAGATAAGAAGTGTCACCATGGACTGGAGCCAGACTGTTGAAATGGCATAGGGTACCCATCCTTGGATCTGCAATTTTCTCACTTGGCCTTTATTGTTTTTTATTTCTTTATTTGTAATTGATTTCTTTCATATATGTCACATGGAGAATATCCTGAAGACTGTTCTAATGAAATATATTTAGGATAGGCTTCAGTCAACTTATAGGGCTTTAGGAAGTATTCCTCAAGGACTTTAAGATCTCCTACTGAAAAACCATTTATTTTTTTTTTATTTTTTATGTTTTATTTATTTCTAGGAGAGAGAGAGAGACAGCGTGAGCAGGGGAGGGTCAGAGAGAGAGAGAGTAACAGACTGAAACAGGCTCCAGGCTCTGAGCTGGCAGTCAGCACAGAGCCCGACGCGGGGCTCGAACCCACGAACCGCGAGATCATGACCTAAGCGAAAGTCAGACGCTTAACCGACTAAGCCACCCAGGCGCCCCTGAAAAACCATTTAAAAGAATACTCAAAACAACAACAACAACACAACAAAGAATATTCTAAATACATTTTATATTCCTGGTTCAGAAATAAGCATTATCTTTATTAGAAATGCATCTTCCATCTTTCATAAACAGGATATCAGACAACTGACATATAAACTGATTAATAAAAGGAGAAATCTTTGTAATCACTTTCTCTTTCTTATTCAGGAAATAAGAAAATACAAATGTTTATCTTCCACGCTTTGTTTCTTGAGCAAAGTTGCCTAAAGCCATTTATTAAATAGAACTTTATGCCCATTTATGCTACACTGAAAAGACTAAAATGAAATATCTCTTACATATATTCCTTATTCATTTTAGAAGATCCATTTACTTCAGACCTCCCTTGGGGGCATATATAAAATGATAGGGAGCATATGATTGGTGACACTTCACCATTATTCATTTCTATCATGTGCATTCTCTGGATCTTTGCATTGCTTACCAACTTGAGAATGGAAAACAGAGTGAAGAATCATATTGGGTAAGATAATTCTTGAAAATGTAGCATGAGCATATGCACAGCAAATTACCAGAATCTCATTTGATCTGGCACCAAAGTCACCCTTAAGAGAAACACATTGGGGTGATGGGTCTGCTTTTGTGGCTCTATGATGCTGTAGAGACTGAGCCGAATGGAGCTGCAGAGTTGAGATGCATGGTGAGGTGGGAAGGGCAACAAAACTACTACCTGTGAGCTAAAGCTCATCTACATGTAACCCCATTTAAAGCCCCTGGTCATCAGGGTCTATTTCAGCAACCTCAGTGGGCATAAACTATTTTAATTTTGATTACAAATAAAACAAAGTGATGTAAGTAAGCTTAGCTAAGTCTAACACAGATAAACTATGTACCCTCTTTTTATATACTCATCTAAGGCTCCATACTGGTTTTTTAGAATATCTTTTTCTTTTTTAATTCCAATACCAGATGTCAGTAATACACAAGCATATGATAGAGATGTGGATTGGGTAATTTGCCCTCATTCTCTCCTACTCAAAGATGGCACAGTCTCTGGCCTCTTATGTTCTCAAGTCATGTTTATTTGTTGTTTATATTGCCACGGGAAGTGGTTAAAGAAGAGGTAGTCTTTTCTTATCCACACAGAAACATTGGGTTTAGAAAATAACTCTGACAATGCAAAAGATCTCACTCAATCCAGATAAAAGAGTGCTATTTGTTAAAATCAAACATATTTCTTATAGGTTTCTATTTATGTAGCAAAACAGAATAAGACTGTAAATCACTAAGCTATTAGAATTCAATTTTATACTATCCATTAGCATGCTGCTAACCAATATATAGCTTCAATTTTTCTGTGAAAACTTCCCTGATGCACCTGACCTTGTGTTTCTTATGTCTAGTACTTAACAGTAAGTACAGTCACAAACACAGTTCCCAGATGCTTGGTACATGGCCCACCTTTCATGCTTTTCAAGAAAGGGGGACACACATTTGTGTTAAGATTGAAATACCCTAGGCTCAGGGTCTACTCCTTATTTATGTTCTTGATGTTGGGAAATGTATTAGGAAATAAATCATCTGATGATCAAGGACCGGCAAAAGGCATTTAATAAAATGTCAGCAAATTCCAGAAGCAAGTAGGGAAGTAACTCATCATAGTGAAGAGACAAGATGGGAAAAAGTTTGAAACCATAAGGGAAAAAGGCAGCCTACTTAATGGGGAGGAACATAATTTGCAGAATCCTCAGAAAGATTTCACTGATGCAAAAGATACTTCACTTGATTGAAACAATGGTTTCAGTCACTATTAAGCAATAACAAATAAATTACCAGAACTACTGTGACACATGAACTCTGAAATTCTATCCTGGATTCTACTAGATAAAAGCACATAATATGAGGTAATCTGGAGTTCTCGATCAGCTGCTTATATTCCACTTATTAAAGGAACTCACAATGAAGAGAGCAGTAAAGACGCTCAGTTACTGCTCATGCTTTGGAAAAAGGTGTAAGAGAAAAATATAAGATGTGTCTTGTTGACTGAGGTGCTGTGTTTCCTGGCTATGTTCTCTCTCAGGAGAAACATGGTAATAGTCAATAGTAGTCTTTGTCAAACATAAAATAATATATCAACAAATGCAAAATATAATTTTATTTATCTGATTGTTTTTCACATATAAACTTTCATGATAACAACACATTCAGGCCTTCACAAATAAGTACTTTACATTTTCTAAAATCATGTCCAAACTTACTGGCCTTCTTTTCAAAACAATGGGAATTTCTCTGAGTAAGCAAATGGACCGAAGCAAACCAGGATTCTTAAACTCTTTAATACCTCTAATCTGTTTGTTTTATGAAGACAGAACTTTCTAGCAATAAGGATACTACTTTAAAGAAATTATTCTTGAAAGATACTAAAATGTAGTTTTGGCAGTTGGGGTGTCCAATTTTTCTTTGTGGCCTGGGAAATCTGGAGAAAAATAATCTTGTTTGAGATCTCAGCTCTTCTGACATTAAATAACAGCCAAGAAGGTGAATGGTACATGGCTTAGTCAGTGTGTCTCTCTGCTGTTTTGTTGAATGTGATAGCCTTGTGTAAAGATCTGCTTTCAAAGTTTCTACTCCACCAGAGTAGAGGGTAGGGCTTGCGGTGGGTAAACATCTCAGAAATCCTTTGACATCATTTCAGCAGGATGCTGATGATTTCCTCTGACATTGAAAAAAACAAAGAAATAGATGTTAGGTGTATGTTATTTTGGCCTCATTGGAATTAGGCATCATGAATGTTTTATGGACAGTGCAATTCAACTTAAACGCAGACATGCAGTGCCAATATGTGGGCATTCACTTGTGGGTTGGTAGCGTTGACAAGCCACAGATCAACTGCACATCAGCCTCCTATGTATGGATTCACTAGTGCATTTCAGGAATGGTAAAAGTGAGAAGAACCCATAGGTACAGTTCTTAGCACAGTTGACGAATAGTACAGCTGCCATTGGCATGCAGTGCCAGAAGTCATTCTGTGCAGAAAGGTTTGCTGTTGGTGGAGATGAAAAAGCATTGCAGACGTCATTTCCAAACGCTGTACTTTTCTTACAGGTAGTCCCCTGGAAGTCCAGGGTACAAAACCAGTACTAGGAAACTGGTTTCACTATACCATCCCCAAGGGTTATTTTGTTCAGAACCCCAAGTTTAAGTGAAGAGGAGTCCTCTGTCCACATAATGGATGTAGAGAGACTTTTCTTTTTAGTTTTGAAAATCGATTTCCTCCGATGTTTGTGCAGCAGCTGTTTCAGCTTGTCCTTGAAAACGCTGGTTGTGAGAGTATAGAGGATTGGGTTCAAGGCGCTGTTTACTGGAAGGAAAAAAATGACTATCCAGGAGGTGAGTGTGCCTGGAGAGGGAAACGAAATGTGGAAAATTTCATGAAGTGGACATTTTAAACAGACACAAATAGCACATAACATTTTGTAGTCAATGTTATTTTGGGGAGGGCTCCCAAGTTCACTTTTCTTTCACCATGAAAATCTCTCTGTTGGAGGAGCATAGGACCTATGAATTCAAGGTCCTACTATTCAGAAATTTTCTGAATTTCAGTAACTACTTGGTAGGTTGTTGAGAGGCCAAATGAGAAAACAAAACAAAACAAAACAACACTTCATAGATGTAAGTTGATATATAAAGCAATTGTTATTGCTTTTCTTTATAGATAAGTAAAAAAATGACAAAATGTTTCTTAATCAATAGATTATTGTTCAGGAAACATCTGGTCCTGGCGTCAGATGGGATCTTGGTCTTAACTTCATTCCTGAAAGCCTAATTGCCCCACCTTCTTATTCCAACCATCTTTTTCAGAGTGGAGACTGAATATGTGAAGAGCAGACTAGAATACATCTTCCAACTTAATCAATCTTTCTGGGTGAGGCCTTACAGATGTTAATTAGAATACTGAGGAAAAGACACCATAAAACTTCTTTCTGAGTAGATATTTGTGATGATTGTACCCTTTCTGAATACATCACGCACTTGGTTAGGATGAAGTATGTTTTCCCCTTGCACGCAGCCTGCTCTTAGGGTGAGACATTTAACTATGGGACCATGGGCAAATCACCTAAGCTTCCTGGATCTCAACTACCCTATCTATGAAAGGGGCTGATGATAACTTACTTGATCGAAGTCAGGGGGCTGGGTGGGCCACAGTCGGCGGCTCTGCTGACGTCCCTCTTCAGCACTAACACCTGCAATTCTGCGACCCCACCACATTAGGCTGCCTCCTTTTATATCTCCAAAAGTGCTAAGAACTCCCAGCTCAGATGAAGAGCCAGAACCAGATGGTAAGGCCAGGGATACATTCCCTGTCACTCTCCTTTGTCTTCTTCTCTTCTCTCCCCACTTTCACAATATTCTTATCCACTAGACACTGTTCCTTGTTCTTCTTTACCCTGCTTTGTTCCTTCCATCTTTTCTATTCCTCTTCTCTTTCTTTTCTATTTTTTCTGACTGCTTATCTGAACTACCCTCCTCTCTTTCCTTCTTTCCTCTTATCTCCCTTTTCTCTTTTTCTATATTTGCCTTCCTCTTTTCCCACCCCATCTTCTCTTTCTTGTCCTTATTTATTTTTTTGAACTGAAAAGAATATGGAAGAAAAATATCTATATTTAGCATATCTTAGATTTATTAAAGTTTCATAATACTGTATTACTTGTCTTTAATTCTTTTATTAGATAATATGGACAGTGCATGACTGAAATCAAAACAAAACCAAACCAAACAAGTTGTTTTTTGTCTGTTGTGTTCCCAGAGGAAATTGCAACCAGGAATGAGACTTCCCATTCAGTCTCAGGGCGACTAGCTAATGTAAGGTCAGCAGGTAAACTCTGAGAAAAGAAGGCTAAAGCTAGCGAATCTTTTGGGCTGACCACCTGTTCTCTCAGTGACAGGCCATGATGGGACACACCCCAGAGTTCTTGGAGGGTGAGGACAGAATGGGATAAGGCCAAGGAGGGCAGCATTTCCTACAACACATGGGAAGTCGGGCAAGCAAGAAGGGGCTTAGTCAGATGTGGTCGAGACTACTCTGTTAGGTCCACCCAGGTGTTCAAGAAAGACCTCAAAGCATTGAGTATAATATAGAGAAAGACTGATGTGTGGCCAAATAAGGTTTTCAAAAAACATTTTTTTTCCTATTCCAGTTTCCTATCATGATCTGGAATGTCATAAGCTCTCCAAGGATGATGACCACTCCTGCGGCTCTCAGATACCAGACATCTTGATCACAGACATCTCCTGCCTCTAAGTCCCAAGGTGTTATCCACTGAATTGTGTACTCCAGGATTCATATATGGAAGTCCTAACCCTCAGGACCTCAGAATATGAGTGTATTTGGAGACAGCCCTTTAAAGTTTCCATTAAGTTAAAATGAGGCATTTAGGGTGGTCCTTATTCCAATCTGACAGGTGTCCTTAGAAGAAGAGAGAAACTTTCATACACACGGAGACACCATGGGTGCACGCACAAAGGAAAGACCACATGAGGATTCAGTAAGAAGGTGGACATCTGGGAGCTAAGGAGAGAAGCTGCAGCAGAAATCTACTGACACTTTTTTCTGGACTTCCAACTCTCCATGACTTAAGCCACCCAGTTTGTGTTACTCTGTTATGACACTCCAAGCAGAGTAATACAGAGGGAAAAGCCTCAAGGAGTTAACAGACTCACAAAATATGAAAACTGGAAGGAATTTGAGAGGCCATATGAAAATAATCTCAGTGAGAGATACCGCCTCACGCCAGTCAGAGTGGCTAAAATGAGCAAATCAGAGAACTCTAGATACTGGCGAGGATGTGGAGAAACGGGCACCCTCCTACACTGTTGGTGGGAACACAAACTGGTGCAGCCCCTCTGGAAAACAGTGTGGAGGTTCCTCAGGAAACTAACAATAGAACTCCCCTATGACCCAGCAATAGCACTGCTAGGAATTTACCCAACGGATATAGGAGTGCTGAGGCATAGGAGCACATGTACCCCAATGTTCACAGCAGCACTGTCAACAATAGCCAAAACATGGAAAGAGCCTAAGTATCCATCAACGGACGAATGGATCAAGAAGATGTGGTTTATCTATACCATGGAATACTACATGGCAATGAGAAACAATGAAATCTGGCCACGTGTAGCAACATGGATGGACCTTGAGGGTGTTATGCTTAGCGAAATAAGTCAGGCAGAGAAGGACAAATATCATATGTTTGCACGTATAGGAGGATTAGGAGGAACTTAACTGAGGAACAAGGGGGAGAAGAAGGGCGGAAATGGTGGGGGAAAGGGAAAGAGGCAAACCATGAGAGACTCTTGAATGCTGAGAAACAATCTGAGGACTGATGGATGTGGGAGGGAGGGGGGAGATGGGCATGGAGGAGGGCACTTGTGGGGATGAGCACTGGGTGTTATATGGAAACCAACTTGACAATAAACTATTTGTAAGAAAAAAAATAAAAGAGATACACAATAAGGAAGAAAAATAAACAGTTTTTATATACTAAAAAAATAATAAAATAAAATAAAATGTCTCTGCTCACCCAAGGAAAAAAGAAATAAAATAAAATAAATAAATAAATAAAAACAAAAAAAAATCTCAGTGAGGTGGGGTGATCTGCCTATATTTCCTCAATTGGTCAGTGGTGGGGTTAGGATGGAAACCCAGAACTCCTGCCTCACTTGGTCATTCTTCAGCCACATAAGGCTGCCTCCTCCCACATCCAAAATAAGCAAGTGCCTGGGGTGGGGAAGGGCATCAAAAGGCATGGAAAGAGAAGTTTGGGAGGCTGATGAGACCATCCCCTCCCCACCCTGTTCCACCACTCTTGGAAGAGCTCAACATCTTTAATTTAAGAAGTATTTATTACATAACATTATGCAAAAAGCACTTGTGGAAAGATAAATAACACATGGCTCCTGTTGTCCTGAAGCTTATAATTTGAAGGGGGCAATGAACACATAAAAAAAAAACAACAACACTGATGGGAGGCAGTTTGGGTGACGTTAATAAGTGAAGTCCAAACAAAATATAATAGACATTTAAGCAATTGAGTTGGATGGGCATGGGTTGAAGAGAGATCTAGAATGGTACCATGGGAGAAGGAGTATTTGGATTGAATCTTGAAGGATGATCAGGGGTATTTAGTAAGCTAGAGTCTTATAGGTTGAAAATATTTTTGTTTTCAGAAGTGTTTATTTAGAGCAGGAACAGGAAGGGGATTAAATTTCATCTTCTTCCAGTTAATCCATCTGGAGCAGAACCATGATGAGACCTAACCACCACTGTCCTGGCTCCTGTCTCATCTACCCACCTCCACTTCAGCCTGACTCTGAGGCCCAGACAGCCCTGGCCGCAGCTGAGGAAAAGGCAAGAAGACACAGAGGACTCTCTCAGTCCTTAGCCTGCTACATGTCTGTGAGATAATGGAGTTCTGTGTATAAGCCTCCATCCCTTTTGATCTATACCCCACTCCGGGGCGCCACCCACAGCTGCTTGAGGGAAGGTAGAAGATATGGGGGGGGGGGAGGGTCCAAGGCTACAAATCTTATGAAAGGCAACTCATAAACGTTTAAAGAAGAGTGATTACAAAGAGGAGAGCCCACTCCTTCTGTCCCCGAGTTCCTGCTCTCAGACTGTCGGTGGTCTTGGGCCTGCTCCCCTAAAACAGCCTCTTTCTCAGGGGTGCAGAGAGAGTAAGTACTGGAGTATAGGATTCTTTTGCTATCTTTTCACTTTCATTTGAGCTCTGCTTCCCCCCAGTGACTCACCTCAGGTGAAACAAGGAAATTCAGAGCTTTCCCCCACCTGTCCTGCATCCTCAGGCTAGCTCCCTGACCACAGTGCTACCTCTAGGCGCCAACTCATGTTAAACAATGTTCATATTCACTCCAGGACAAGTGAGAGCCTGGTTCTCTACCCACTAGTCCTACCCAGCATCAGCACGGTAGCCCAGAACCCCCTTACACACACACACACACACATACACACACACACACACACACACACCTTCAACAAAGGCAAGGCATCAAAAAGGTGCAGGAAAAAAATCCTAATAATGTTAATGGATTATTAAGTCCCAGAAAGGGGTTCACATAAAATCCTAACTAATGAAAGGCTTTATTTCTCTGGTTGAACCACGGGTGTGGGTGGGAGACCCACTTCCACCAAACATCTAACACTCTAGAGTGGAGCCTGGATCACAGAATACATGAGGGTGGGGTCGGGGATAAACATTTTTAATGCTGATCCAGCACTTGGATTTTATTCCATGGGCAATGGAGGCCAACGGACATTTTAGTCCTGCTAAATGTGGAATGCAAGGATGTAAAAATTGAAATGTCCAGGAAACTGTAGTAGACTGAATGATTCATCAAGTTCCTCAGCTGTGACTGTTAATATTTAATTAACTCTGCTCCTCATTCACATCCAACCTGCTCTCTTGGAGCAATGGCACATGCATTCTCAAGGCCTCTGCTCTCACCACTCAGTGAAAGTTCCCAAATAGTCAGCCCTGATGTCTCTCTTGATCTTCACTTTCACACCTTACATCTGCCTTGTGATCAGTCACTCTAAACTGACAGGTTAAGGGAAAGCTGTGGATGTTGTGTGTCATTTTGCAGTGAGGCACTTGACAAGACCTCCCATGACTCCCACACATAAGCCAGAGGGACATAATCATTACAGCTGTTTGTTACCTGTACATTCATAACTCTTGTATAAGTGCTTCTGAAGTGTCTACCCCATGCTTGACCCTGGGGTGCCAAGATGAATAGATATGATTCCTGCCCCAGATGAAACCTTGTTTCACAGAGAGTCAGGCCAAAGCCCCAGGTGGCCCCTCGATGACTGTGACTTCTAAGTCCCAGGAAGGGATTCACATAAAACCCTAACAAAAAAAGGGCCTTCTCCCCTCTGGTTGAAATAGGGGTGTGGGTGGGAGACCTATTGCCACCAAACATCTAACACTCTAGAGTGGAGCCTAGAGTGACAACCACATGGCAAGGACCATGAAATAAACTGGTGGTTCTTAACCAGGGGTGTGTGCCTCCAAATCACGTGGGCATGGGAGGAACTTTTCCAAAATACCTGCGTTTAGCTCTTGGTCCTTGTAGGTGAAATCCAGAAGCCCAGAGTGGAACCTGGGCATTTATATTTTGATTTTTTATGTGTATTCTTGGTTAAGAACCACTATCTAGCTCAGATAGAAAGAAGACACTAAGTCTTCATTGTTGTTGTTGTTTTTCTAGCTCCTCTTTTCTTATCATTCTTGTCTGGATTCTTGTCTGGATTGCACCACTACCAGGTTGCTCTCTTAGAATACAGACTATAAAATATTGAGGAAAATAATAGTTGTGTGTACTAAATAGGTATTTACATGGAATTTACTATATGTAAGGCACCGTATTCTGGTCTTGTCAAGGGGCTTAAGAAGGCACAATGTGCTTGGAAATAATAGAAGGGACTGACCTGGTATTTCCACCCGGAAGAGGGAGAGAATTTTAATTACAAATACAGGAATCCAGCAGATGGCATCAGAGAACACTATAAAAAAGAAACGATTTGCAACAGCCACCTCTCTTCCGATGTGATTCCTCACTTCCGAAGTCTGCAAGGCAGTTTTTTTAATGGAACAGAACATAATAATATAGGAAAACACAATGATGAGAAAAGCCAGCAAGTTCACACCTGTTGGGAAAAGCACAGCTCTTAACATTTCAGGTGTATAAATCAACAGTAAAAGTGTTGTGTTACATAGATGTTCATTATGGTGCCTCTTAGGCCACACTTCCAAGAAGCATTCTTTTGTAAAGACCCAGTGGCAATCAGCTAATAACCCTGAATCCAAGGTTATAAGCTAGAATAAGCTAAAAGAATTGGGTTTGTCAGATCAAAAAGATATTGGAAATACACAAATCCTTTATAAAGAGTTACAGACCTCTGAAATTCAGATCTAGGTGTAGCATGAGCTGAATTTTAGCTTTTTTAAAGCCAGAAAAAAGCTAATTTTATTTTTCACTCCTTGCAAATTCAAATCTTAAAGGATTACTGTAATCATATGATTATCTCAAAAAAATAAACATGACCCCATTTCTTTATCTTATAAATATGAACAAAATAACTTGGAATATCAAGAAGATAATAGCCTCAGAAACATTACCTCTCATGTTTTTGGTATTGGTAAATATTACATAGAACGAAAATGCATTTTTGAGTTTTCTCAGAGAGCTTACGGTAATTTAAACTAAAATTCAGAACCCTTTAGACTTGTTTTGAAAGAAAAAAGAAATAAAAAATAAATTCAACTGTATGAATTATTTTTTAGAGTCAAATATATTCAGACAATTCTCACTTAACATCACTGTCTTCTAATGCTGACTTCTTAGTCACTTTGTTATATTCTTGCCATGATAAAAATCCCAAGAGCAATCATCACATTCTTCACTGTGAGCATAAAACGTGCATACTATTTAAAGTTGTTTTTAAAAAAAATGTCTGTCTGAATCTAGACTATGTATAAGATGGGTGAAGTCTAGGGGAGAATTCTACAAATTCCTAGTGTTCTGTTGTTTTTATCCAAAACATTTCACATTCCTTAGAATCTCGTAATAAAGCCATTCAATGGAATTTTATAAAATTGGTTTATTGTAGGCCTCTTGTCAGAAACTTCAGTTAAGAATAATAGATAATGACTTTTAAAGATGATCCTCCAGTACAAATTATGAAAACAGACTTACAGAAGGATCAAAAGTGTGTGTTCTGAAAGCACCCTAGGGATTTGAGATGTTAGCAGTAGGGAAAACTGGGTGAGGGGTAAATGGAAGCTACTATCTTTGAAACTTCTCTCTAAATCTTATTCCATTCTAAGATAAAGAATTTATTTCCAAACTGTATTCGTATACTCTTTAAAGAGAAAAGAGGGCTCTAGGACTCTTCTCACAGGTAAGCCAAGGGTGTATAGGTGATGATGATGATGATTGTGGGAGGGGGTTACTATCTCTTCATCTACCTGGAATACATCACAGGTGTTAAACCCTTTGTAGCTTACCCCACTCTCCTTACCTATAAGATCCAGCTACGTCTAACTTCTTGACCCTTCATCTGGGCCTGTTCTGTGGCTTTGCACTTCTATGTCCACTATGTTTTTTCCTGGAACAGACTTCACTTGGTTAATCCTTCCTTATCCTTTGGGCCTAAGGATTTGGATTCATTCCTACTGGAAAGCTTTCCCTGTGCTCAGATTTGGGGCCTCCTAGAACATCCAGTTCTCCTCCTTTGTGGCATTTGTCAGTTTGTGACGTAAGAATGTGTTTACTTGTCTTCATCCTTCTTGCTGATGGTAGGTCTGTGAGGGCTGATCTGTTGTGTCTCCAGTGTCCAAAATAGTGCCTGGCCTATAGCAGGTGCTTAATAAATTGTTGATGAATCAGTGAATACAATGTAATGTAGTGTGTGTGTGTGTGTGTGTGTGTGTGTGTGTGTGTGTGTGTCTATGAAGTGCGTCTATGCTAGGAACAGCTTACAATGTCCATGAAAAAATAGCTACAGAACAGGGTGGTATGTGAAGAGTATTATTAAAATGGTGCTAAGAAGGTATATTTCTCAGAAGAAGAGGAATAGATGAAGAAGAGCTGGACCAGTGGTTAGAGCCATTTTATGAAGCATCTTAAGTGATTAATGTACACTTGACCTTGGCAGTAGCAGGGAGTCATTGAAGGCCTCAGAGCTGAGGTAAATACAGTCTTTTTGATACTCAAGGGAGTGAACAGGTTAATAAGAGAGAGAAAACCCCTGAGGTCAAAAGACTAGTAAGGGCTAATGTAATAAGCCCTTATGTATAACCCTTCAGGGTTGAGGTTGTAAGGTTTTAAATGAAGGTGATGGTAGATAGAGACTGGAGGACAGCAGTGGTATATTTTGATGAAAAAACATTTAATGAAAAAGAAAGGATGATAGAACTTATTGACTACTTAGAGAGGGGAAAAGATGAGAAGAGGGAATTAAAATGATAATACTGCCCTAGTTAAAGAAATTATATGGAAATTGTCTTAATTTTAATTTTAAACAGTAGGGATACTTATTAGACAATATTAAATGTGGTGGGGTTTTTTAACTTTAAAGAGCTCAACTTCTCATTCACTTTTGTTACAGAGAAGGTAGGGTCTTCTTTTCTAAATAAAATAGAGGAAATTAAGAAAAATTGAAAACAAACTTTTATTAAGCACGCTTCCATTTTTTATTTTAGAGCTGCATTTACCAAAGGCAATAAACCTTCTTGGTATTTCCATTCCAATAATCTCCTGTCAGTGAGTTTCCAGAATTTTGTTATTATTATTTAATTGACTCATAATCTAGATTGTAAAAAAGAAAAAAGAGTTCAGATAACTTGATGGAGTCACAGGTCAAGGCACTAACCTAGAATTCCTCCAGCTCATAGTAACAGTATGAAAATCAAAGGGTCTCACAGATAATAAAAAAATCATCCAGAGGTCCTGACAGTATATCTTTGTTTCCCATACTAAATCTCTATAATAAAAAGGTTAATAAAAACTATAAATACTCAGTAAGTACTTTTCTTTTAAAAGGGACACAGACTTGATATATTCATTTACTTTCTGAAAAGGACAAAAACACCTTTGCTGAAATTTATATTTCTATCAAAATTATGTTGGTCCAGAAAGTGAAAAATATAATTTACCTAGGAAAATTCCAAGAGAATAACCATTGCTTCCAATATCTTCTGTTTGGTCATAGTAAAGTGGGAAACATATGCCATTTTTTCCATAAAAGTTTCCAAAATAATCCTCATTCCAAAATGGAATCACAGCTATTAAAAATCCCATAGTCCAGATGCAAATAAGGATGATTGAGGTTTGCCATTTTCCAGGACGAATGTTGCTGAAGGGAAAGACAATGACCAGGAACTTCTCCAGAGTCAAGTACGTCAGCAGCAGGACAGAGACTTCGGTGGACAGCATGGCCAGGAACCCCATGAGGCGGCACTGTAAGCTCTCCATCCACAGTAACGCATACTTCTGATACTGCCCACGGTATTTTATATCATAAAAGCCAATGAAGAACAAATACACACCCATCAGGCAGTCTGCACCTGTTAAGAAATAAACACAGTATATGTTGATAGTTCCAACATTTCGGTTTCAGTTTTCTAATTGGGTCTACTTCCTCCATCCTGTATTAAGTGAACTAGGATAAACACCTACAGCACTCTCTAAAAGCCAATGGACTTCACAAAAAGTGTCCTAATTCTAAAGAACTATATTGGGTCTTTGTTTTATCATTTTTAAAACTGGTGGTGTATGTGAGGGGGTAATTTTTGTGGGGGAAGCTAGTTTTTAAACAATAAATATTACTTGTATACTTAACAATGAATAATTTTCTGGGCTTGAGGAGCATGGGTGCTATTGTAATTGAAGGCAGACTGAGCTTAGTTTATAACCCACAATCTGTCCTCCAAAATCCTTCTATTGATTCATTAGCTCCCTGTTACCCCATTTCCAAGATACAACCCCCAGCGGTGAATGCTGGATCACTGCAAACTCATGCAACCTAAAACAGAGAGCCAAAGAGAACGGTAGTTCATACTTAGGGAAAAAAATTGCCTGGCTCACTAACCCGTATTAAGTGTCATTGTTGAAGGCCAACGTGTTCCTAGTACTCAGGTCACAGAAGACATCCTAAATCCATTTAGGTAGGAAACATACTTACAACAAAGGATTTTGATGGACGTAGCGTGAGTCGTATTTTCAGCTTTAATGAAAGATCTCATGCCAATGACAAAAAGATTTCCAAAGCAGGTTATGAAAGCTATAACCCAGACAAATATTCTGAGGATATTGTTAGCCAAGAGGTCCTCAAATGAAGAAATGCCGTCAGTCAAGGGCATACATATGCGGACATGGGGAGCATAGGAGCAGTATCGAAAGTTTTTGAAATAACTAAATTCAAAGGGAAAAAAAGAGTCACTTTGCAGCAATGACAGAGAAACGACAGTTGCCACCCTGTCAGAGCTACCGCTCTGTCAGGTGTGCAACTGCACTAGGTGTGTTTATCTTTGCTTAGTTGTGATTGTGCAGTAGTGTGCCTCATTACATATTACGTTACTCTAGGCAGTGTTCCTCTTGGCAAGACGAAGAACCTAAAGGGCATAGAAATTCCGCGGCTTGACTGAGATGAGTCAGGGGGGGACATGAGAATGTAAAGTCTCCTGGACTCTATTTTTCCCTCATTTCCTAGATTATTCTCTAGGATATGATGAAAAGCAAATCGTTATTGTTACATTGATCTGTAGCAAACATTCAGGGGCCGGGGTTTGGGATGTAAAGGACCTCACTGAAAACATTCCTGCCTAGTACTCAGTTTAAGTACACTCACTTACCCAGCCTCCTTTCCCCTGACACTGGCAGGAAGGGAGTGTTTCTGAGACTAGGAAACCTCAGTCACGGGAGCTAGGAGAGGAAGTGGACTTCTCACCAGAGCCTTAAAGGGCTTATACAGTTTCTAGACGAAAATATAGGTTTGTTTGTGACCAATGCATTTATGACCTAGGTGTGTGGAAGCTTCGTGTGATTGAATTCAGAAGTCACTTGGCTTATTGCCACCCCCTAAACCTGTGTATTTAGGCTCCCCCCCATAAAACTCATTCCATTTTTGTTTTCTTGTACCACCTCTTTTAGTTTATTTCTTTTTGTCTAATTCTTTTTTTTTTTTTTTTTAACTCTCTCCATTCAATTTCCAGACCAGCAAGTTAAATAAAGCTTTACTTTGTTATGGTCTCAAGGCCCCTTAAGACTGGCTGCCCAGATCCACCTCGCCTCCTTCCCTTCATTGCTAGTTTCACCCGGGCACACTGTCTTTCTTCCCAGACTCAGACAAGCCAGGCTCACCCCCTTCTCACTGCAATGCTTTTGCTGTTCCCTCTGCCTGGAAGATTCTTTCCCCAGATATTGCCAGGCCTGGCTCCCTCCCTTCATTCTGGTGTCACATCTCTCTGACTTCTATGTGAACCATCTACATCCTCTCTCTGTCCCTTCATCTTGCTACGCTTTTTTTTCACAGTGTTTATTAACTATTTATTTGTTCATTTTCTGTTTCTCAAAGCTAAACGGAAGCTCCATGGGGCAGACACTTCTCTCTCTTGTTCATCCCTGTGATCTCAGATCTAGAACAGTGCATGACACATGGGAAGCACTCAACAAATACTTCCTAGATGAACAAGTGATTGATGGATAATTTAGTTCTGGGTTTGTCAGGTAGAGAAATAGGAGGCAATCACTGACCTCGAGTAGCTTAGAGTCCAGCTTCCTGAAATCATCTATCTGATTAAAGGAGCTTGATGTATAATTCTCTTTTTATCTTTTCCTTTCCTGGAGTCCCTGGCACACACTTGACTTGACCTCTTAGTCTTAAAGGAGATTGCATCATGTCTGCTACCTTCAGATAGAGCCAGCTAGGGTCTTGGTCATTCAACCTCTCTTTTGCTGTGACCAAGGCACTAGCTGGAAGGGTTGGAAGATAGGGGTTTGAGGTGGATGCATTTCAATAAATGGTGGACAAGAAAGGTGAAAGAAGAATAGATCACCTAATAGAGAAGCAACTAACTTAATACATTTTCTGTTAACTGTTGGGTCCATCTTGACCTCAACCTGAAGTTCATAATTTAAGTGGCAGCTTCTCCAGCACATTCTAAACAGGGTGAATTTCTCTATTCTAAAAAGACCTCACATTCTGCCTGCAACAAGGAAATGATAGCCTCATTAAATATTTATCTACTGGTGCCACAGAAAGAGAAATTATGAAAGTCATGTGGATATGCATCAAATACTTGTCTTTTAGTAATCACACCTACTGCAGAGACATAAACAAAATGTTCTCCCAAAAGAGCACCTTCACACCAACCATTTCATCCATTGCTGCACCCAACTTGTAATCTTACATCGAATTCTCCCTATTGTTGTGGATAACAATGGTTAATTTTTGAAATCATGAACACATAGATTATACAGTTGATAAAGAAATGATCATGTCATAAACACATATATTAACACAACTTACACAGTGCACTTTAGCCAAATATATTAAAGTGACTTATCAAAAACTACTATAAAGATTAATTACCTCCATTTTGTAGTGCACTTAGTAACAGTAACAACACCTGGAATTTATATAGCACCTTTCTTCCTAAGGGCTCAAATCTTAGAGCAGCCGACTGCTCATTCATGTGAGGTGAATTAATGTTTCCAGGTCTCCTGAGTACCATTTAGCCAGTGACTTCATCTTGTGTAATGTGTGGCATTCTGGTACCCTGATCTCTTATTGGACCTCAATTGGATAAACAGCGTGTTTCCAGGGAGAAGTGTCATTCATGTCGGCACATCATAATATTGAACTCTATTTGACAGGGACCAAAGGTGACAAAATTAAAAAGTTCTCAATAAAAAGACTTTTCTTGCATAAAAACACATTGCAGTGATACATTAGACAGTTTACACTAGAACATCTGCAATATTTCACCATGCTTACTTCTCCATTCTGTCATACATACATACATGTGAGAAAGGTTCGTCATGGGTTGAAACATCTGTGCATTTATATTTGGAATCTCTATCCTTTCCAGGTCTCTGGAAAATATGCACAATAGATATCATGTTTTTAGGGCTTAACTTATTAATAATTGCATTTTGTCATATCCTAAATGTCGTGCTTCAAAGTCTTGTTATCAATTCAAATTAGCATGAAAATTTTATAGTAAACTATCTTAGAAGATTGCTATTTCTATTTAGGCCTTCTGTAAATTGGGGCTGATTTTGTCACTTCAAATGCAGAATTAATTCTAATAGGACATTTTCGTGTATTTCTTTGATTTAAAAACAGCGATGGTGATTTGTGTGATCATGAAATTGGCTGCATAGTTTGATTTTATATACCACATCGTGTGAGTTTTGGAGGGTTTGACAGGAGCTGATATTTCCCACCTGAGATCATCACTGAAACGAGTTTCATGAGAACCTGGATTCAAATGCAGTTGTTTCTTCCAGGCTTATGGGTCCTTCTGGTGGAGCAGAGCTCCAACTCATAACAAGCGTTCCTAAGATAGTAGTGGGAAGCATATGCCTTTCCTTCCCAGACACTATCAGATGTCCTCAGAGAACTCCAGTGGAAACCCTATACTCCTCATTTATCCAGAAGCTTCTTCAAATACGGATTCTCTGAAGACTCTTTAGGATGGCATGAATTAAGGGAATCTGCCATGTTCTCAGGAAACAGATGGAGAGAGAAAAATCTAAAAAGACTTTTAATGTTTATTTTGAAAGCTGCTTGATTCTCACTCAGTTTCTTTTTTATTGATCTGAGTAGGGACTTCTTGACATGGTTCTAAGTTTTCTTTATCCATTGAGTCCTTCATAAAAGAACTGCCTTTTCATTGGCAGTCAAAAATGAAACCTGGTGAGGGGCGCCTGGGTGGCTTAGTCGGTTAAGCGTCCGACTTTCGCTCAGGTCATGATCTCGCGGTTCTTGGGTTCGAGCCCCGCGTCGGGCTCTGTGCTGACTGCCAGCTCAGAGCCTGGAGCCTGTTTCAGAGTCTGTATCTTCCTCTCTCTCTGACCCTCCCCTGCTCACGCTGTCTCTCTCTCTCACTCTCTCTCCTAGAAATAAATAAAAATATAAAAAAAAAAATGAAACCTGGTGAAGCAATTATACTCCAGAATCATCACAGGGCCCATGCTACAGGAAATTCTTGAGTCCTTTTTAAAGGATTTGTTTTCCTCTTCTTTCATTTGCTCTCTGGTTCTCCTGGACTTACTACAGTTTTAGCTCTACATGGATTGTTTGATTATTTGATCAATAGCCAATAGTTTCCAAAAGAGATCACTATATCTTGGATGTCTAACACAGTGGTACAGATAAGTTGATGGCTGGCAAATGTTTGTTAAATAAATGTGTGAATGAATCTCAAAAAAAAAATGAGAAAAGTCTTTTTTCATCAGTGGATTCTCACTAATGCCTGTTGAAAGGAAACCTAAATCTGGCATTAAGATTTAGCAAGAAGAAAAAATGATATTAAGAATTAGACTCTAGAATTGAATGAAAAAAAAGGCTTTAGGCTGACATCAGGTAATGCATATGTCCTCTGTATAAAAACAAACTTTAACCAACAATGGCTATTCATAGAAAAGGGATGAGGAAGTTCAAAGGAGAACTGGCAGAGTTTTTGACACTAATATGTTAGAAATTTTAAAATACTAAGGAACATTAAATGTCTGAATGTTCATATTGGTAGGATATTTTTTTCTTTACTGATAGAAATATAAAAAGCATACACTGTAGACCAATGTCAGGTAGATTGTTGTAGCAAAGGGGAAAGGAAAAAGCAGGCAAGTCTTACATAATTTGCGTTTTGCCAACAGTTCAGTAACCAAACTACTGAAAATGCAATTCTTTAGGAAAATTGTAGGATGAGATTTTTCCATATGAACCCGGTATGTGCAGCTTCCAACACAGAAATGGCCTTTACAACATATTAAATGGTAAAAGTGGCTTGTTGTCATTTGATGGTAACAATGATATTCACAACTGTCTGATGATAGGTGCTCAAAGTAAGAGCTCTCTGTATATAAAATACCCATTTTTTAAAAATGTGCTTCTTAGTAAAATACATCCACTAAAATGATAATCAATATACTGTTATATTTCACTTACAGAGACTGAAGTTGTTTAAGACTTTCAAACTGGTTCTTGTGGAGATACAAAAGAGGATTGGACGACAGATTCCTTTTGTACCATTAGAAAGAGGAAGGAAAGAAGCATCAGGATGTTATTAGTTTGAAAGCTCAAGGTGTTGCCATTTAAATCTGATGATGGTGGGAAGAAGTACTTACAGTTTCTGTAGAAGCTTCAGATCTTTAAAAATGTGGGCTGGTAGCTCCATTATCATATTGCCAGACAGGTCCCTGTTGATGACAGTGAAAACCCAAAGCAATTACATTGGAAATAAATGACATGGGTATTACTCCCCACAATTATCATCATCCCATTTGACGTAATAGAAAATATGGTCCAATTTAACCAACCTGATAGATAACTTGTTACAAAACAGGGCTGCGTGAGTCAGCCAAATGGATATGTTTTTCATCATTTCAGATGCGTGACATTTTGCTCATCCAGTTCCTGTCTGGAATTTCCTCTCAGTGCCTCTCCAACACATTCCCAACATGGCTTCAGTATCTACTTTGATTAATTTCCTCTGTTTCAGATACTCTTTGTACACTGCAATCATTCGTTTGCTTTTGTGATTCCTACTTGGTTCAAGCATGTGATATCTTGTTTATCCAACTCTATTACAAGCTTTCTAAGGCCAAGACCTTTGCCTTTACTTACTTTGCATTCCAAATAAGACTGTATTGGCCACATGTTGTCCTCCCAGATAATCTTGAATGGATACTTTCGTGCATTTTAAATCTATTTTGATATGGTACTATTTTTTAAGGAAATTAAAATTTTAGAATGAAATATCATAGTATTGTACAATCCATGAGGAATCATAATGAGGTGTATCTAGATAATCTAGAAAAGGATATCTAGGATCAGAAGGAATCGGGAATCTTTAAGAGTTTAAAATATGCTTCTGAACCAGGGAAGGTATTAAAAAGTGAAACAGACATTCCATTGCTTAAGAGTCAAACAAAATATTGTTTTTCTATTTTTGATGTGTTGGAGCTGCTGATGAATGGATATGTGGAAGTTACAAATAACTAAGACTTAGATTTCTCTCTCTTTTTTCTTTTTAATTTCTGAGAGAGAGACAGCATGAGCATGGGAGGGTCAGAGAGAGAGGGAGACACAGAATCTGAAGAAAGCTCCAGGCTCTGAGCTAGCTGTCAGCACAGAGTCCGACACAGGGCTCGAACCCATGATCATGACCTGAGCTGAAGTCAGACGCTTAACTGACTAAGCCACCCAGGCACCCCAGATCTCTTTGTAACAAAGCTTACAATTAGGATAAACAACTAGATTATAAAACAAGGAAGGAATGAAGCAAGGGCTATTACAGATGTACTGACCAAAAAATCCCAAGAAAACAAAACAAAACAAAAAAACAGAAAAACAGAGAAAAGAGTTGGAAATTAGGAACTTTGTGAACAAAGATTTATGATTTTCATAAGTGGAATAGAAGGTCAGCTTTTCAAGTGAGGGTTAAGCATAATCAGAGAATCAGAGACTTGGAATTCAATGACATCTTCTGGAATTGGTAAATGGCCCAGCATGGGTGGAGGATGGAAAGTATGGAGAAATGTAGAGGAAGTGAGCCTGGAAATGAGCATGGAGACAAAATGGAAGAGCCATGAAAACATTCCAAGGCAGTACTTCTTAGAGCATAGTCCAGGCATCAGAACCAAGGAGGATGCTTATAATTCCTTAATGCCCACTCAAGAACTCTCTTGGTGCCTACTCCAGCAGAACTATCACTTCAGAATCTCTGGAAGAGAGACTGGTAACATGCATTTAAAGTCAGTATCCCTTATGATTCTTCTGAACATTAACATTGAGAGCTGGCAACAAGGAGTGAGAATATGAAGCAAGACAGGGGCAAACTATGCTCTGCATTATGGGAAGATAGTTCTGTCAGAAGCATAAAAAGTCAGAGAGTAAAAGGATGGAGACCAGGCAGGTGGCTTTGACCTTGGACCAGGTGAAAGATGAGGGCTTAAGTGGAGCATGGACAGGCTCACAGTCTGGTAGGACATGAAGCATAATGAGAGTTGGAAGGAAAGGAAATAGCGAAGGATGTTGATACCACTAAGACGGCAAGTTCAAGGGAGGAAGCTGGCATCTATAAATTAATTGTAAGAGATTGCTTTTGAGGTACCGTCATGATACCCAAGTGTACTCATCTCGCCAGCTGAAAATTCTGATCTGAGGAACTGCAGGTAAGTAGAGCACACAGGGTCACAGTGCAGAAGGAAAGCCATGGTATGCATGGGTCAGAGGAAGTGTGACCAAACAGCAAGATGATGATGACTTGTACAGCTAGAAAGCATTCTGCTAAGCGTTATTGAAAAACAAAGTACAGTCTTGTAAGGGAAAGGACTTCAGTGGCCTCACCTAAGTCTGTTTGATTCTTCTCCAGGCTGAGTTTGTTGTCATGAGGGCACAGCAAAATTATCTAACATTTTTGTAAACTGAGGAGTTAAAAGTACCTTGTTCCAGTTAATTCTATAAACTTCCGAATTTCTTTTCCCTTACTGCTGATTAGTGGATTGGAATGAATTATTGGTGGTCTTTTAAAAAGGAAGCTAATGTCTCTTAACTGGGCCCTTTAGGGGGCAGGGGTGTGGATAGCTCTGCCAAAGCATAGGATAAAAGGAGGATTCGAATAGTTTTCAAAATATGCACTCCTTACCACTATTTTCTTAAGTTTGTACCTAAAACATGTTCCTGTTTGTCCTGGGCTGTTAACCTCCTCCACCCTGTAACTCAAATCCCTATCAGACCCCTAATGCCTCATCAGGAATGCTGCCGTGAAGAATGAGTGAACAATTCTGAGCAAGCTGTCTTTCACTTTTTGCCATAGAATATGAACAATATTTTTAGTTCTACTGCAGTGTCTTTCACACGCTAGGCACTTAGAAAATATATGTGGATTTGGTTTGTGATACTTATGCATGAGATTGAATTATCTTAATTATCCATGAATTAGTTTTTCAGATTACTCTTACTGAGTTCTTTTCCTCCGTCCTTTCTGTCTTATAAAGCAAGGTATAAAGAATGGGAAAGAGGTTAATTAAGAGATTAGTTTCCATTTTTAGGTTTCAGATCAGGAGGAGGAGATCTGTACCCTAATCGCCACTATTTATAATATAACAGACTTAGTTTTAACTTGCAATGATAACAATTATGTGGGTAGCAATGAATTAATAGCAAGACAGATGCTTTTAAAAGTTTTAGCACTACAAAACATATATATTTGAACAGAAAAAGTTACATGATCCCTCTACACATTTTTCAATAATCCTTATCATTCTAGACATTTGTACTCACTTCATCTGCTCTAGAAGTCATAATTTCTCAAGGGATAATAAGCATCTTTGTTCCTTTGTTCATTCGTGATTAATATTATTTCAGTCACCCATTCATTCAGCAAGCATTTACTGAGAATTTACTATACTCCAGCCATTAGAGATAATGATCCTTGAGTTTGAGGAGTTATAGAAAACTCATTTGCTCCAAAACACACACACACACACACACACACACACACACACATATGAAATCACCCAAAGAAAATAGGCAGAGAAATTCAAGTAGACTAAATCCATATTAAGCCCACTGTTGAATTTTAATTTGCTTTTGACTTTAGGATAATGTTGGTTTTCTTAATTGATTTTGAATATCCAGGAGTCTGCAGGATTTGATTGCCACTAGCAAAAAAGAAGGCTCACTGGTCATTTAAATTTGTAATCTTGGAAGAAGCAATCCTATTTTCCTAGTAGACAATGCTACTTACAGTTCTCCTAAATTTTTTAATGAAGAAAATGTCTTCTCTGGAACAAAATCAATTTGATTTCTAGGCAGAAACCTGTAAGACATGGTGAGAGTCAGCACTGTTGGTTTGTCTGCTGTAAGAATCAGTTCTCATTGGGAGATGCCATTGATCCACATGTAATTTCTTAAGGCCTCCTCTGAAGTCTCAAAGTGAGGTGTGTTCTGGTGTGGAACACAAGGCGGGAGTTTCTCAGCGAGGGCGTCCACATGTTCTTTCCAGGAAATGCTAGCCAGAGGTAATTTGAGGTGCTGAGTGTGGTCTATAAGGCTGCATTTTGTTTGGATTCTGATTATTTCAGAAAGTGTTTATTTCCCAACACACATGTTAATGTCAGATTTCAACCCTGTTAATAGAGCAGGTTTTGAGAGAATCCTTGTGTAAGGCACAGTCCTTAGGGGAAGGCCAGAAAGAACAGAGCTTGAACCAATCCCATCACAGCTTCTGGGGCCACAGATGGATTTTAAATTTGGGGGAGGGGCAGTGGATTTACATTTCCTTTGTCTAGAAATGGAATTCTCCAAGACCTAAGGTAAAAAGGGGGCAGGGGGTGGCAGCTAACTGTCTGACAGAGGTGAGCTCATGAGTATGACCATAACTCAAAAGCCACGCTGGGCTATAAAATAGAAAGTGTCAGTGAGTTTGCCAGTTTGCCAGAGGGTTTGCCAGTGTTCTCTCTCATTATCCATGAGAAAAAGAATAAACTATTTGCATCCTCTGAGTTGGATAGCCCTTCTTTTCTCATTAAAGATGCTTGTCTGTAATCTGACTGATAACTATGTAGCCTGGCAATAACCCTATCTCTTAGTTTGTTGAAAAAAGCAGTGGTTAGACTACTACAAATGTATATACTCCAATTTTTCTTTTCCAACCTCCTGTGCAACCATCAAACATTACTAACTGCTTACTACCTGTGGAAAACTGTTGGTTAAAACAAAAGCAAAATTCTTTTTTTTAGCAATGCAAATGTGGCATAACCAGCCCACATGTACCACCCCCCGATAAAAAACACAATCAGCAATCAGAATCACCAGTCAGAATCTTTGGCAAATCAGAATACATTAGATATTCTTTCCTTAAAAGTAAAACTATTTTTTTCTTTAGAGAGAGTGAGAGACATCAAGGGATAAGTGTCACTGGCAGTAACCACTAATTACTCTAGAGCTAAGCATTTTCTCACACATGATCTCACTTCCTTAGTTGTCATGGGGTTATACACCAGCTCAGCTCATCTGAGAGGATGCAATGAAATAACAATTGCCCTCAGCTAGAAAGGGAGCAGCTGGAGATCTAACTACTGGGAAGCCTAGCTGAAGGCTTGGCCCCACCATCAAAACCAATCCATCCATGTGTGCATTTTCTAGGGCTGTAGCTCCAGACCGAGGCTGTAAATAAAACATTCCTTGTCAGTGTTTTCTTTTGACTTCCAAATCTATTGGGCTTCCCCTCATTTACCAATTTCCATTGTATACTTACAGCACTGTGAGTGAATTGCATGACAGAAAGGTGGAATTCGTAAGATATTTTATTCCATTGCCTTCCAAATTCCTAAAACGCATGGGGGGGGGGTGAATACTGTTAATGTTTTTGCACACATTACATATCCAGAGGCACTTTTTGTGGTTATAACAGTTCTGAACTTTATTAAAAATATTCTTTTTTAACGTTTATTCATTTTTGAGAGATGGAGAGAGACAGATCATGAGCAGAGGAGGGGCAAAGAGAGAGGGAGACACAGAATCTGAAGCAGGCTCCAGGCTCTGAGCTGTCAGCACAGAGTCCCATGCGGGGCTGAACCCATGGACTGTGAGATCATGACCTGAGCTGAAGTCGGATGCTTAACTGCCTGAGCCCCCAGGTGTCACTAAGCTTTATTTTTTTACCTCGTTTCAATGTTTATGCTTTCTTCCTAATTACTACAAGGTTAATATAATTAATATTATGCTTCTTTTCCCCTTTCAATTAATGTTAGAACTTAATAAAATTGAGGGAAAGAGCAGCCCAACATTTAGTGAGTGTGCTAGATACCATGTTATTAATTATAATATTGCCACCATAATAGTCATAACTGCCATTTATTAGACTTTTACAGTGTCAGATATTGGTCTGAGTGCATAACGGTGCTCTTGCAAAGTTGGTATTACCCCCCTTCCCTTCCACCCCCATTTAACATATGAGGAAAGTGAGGCTGTTGGGAATTCACTTAATTTCTGGTCACACAGCTGGGAAGTAGTAGAATTGACCTTCTAACTCAGATCTGTCTCTATCTAAAGCCTAGGCACTAAACCATGCATCATAGGTCCTTACACTCTCGCATTCCCTTGACAGCAAGTAAATACTTTTGTCTCTATTTTGGTAAAGGAGAAACTCAGGCAAAATTATCTTCTCAATGCTAAATCCCAGAGTTAAGAATATATACCCATCTGGGTGATGAAAGCAACCGCTCTTTCTACTATGGCTCTGAGACCCTGATGCTGACTGTAGCACTGCTCCAAGGTGCCTGGGACAGCCCTCAGTGTCACCCCAGAACTTCTTAGAAATGCAGATTCTCTGACTCCATCCTCTTCCTACTCTAGGACTGAGGTCTTTTCATTTTAGTATAGTTAATAGTGTTGTATTAGTTTCAGGTGTGCACTATAGTGAGTCAGCACTTCCATACAACACCTGGTGCTCTTCACCATTGCCCTCCTTAGCCCCCTTCACCTTTTTAACCCCTCCCCCTCATCCACCTCCACTCTGGTAACTAACAGTTTGTTCTCTAAAGATAAGAGTCTGTTTCTTGGCTTGTCTCTTTCTCTCTCTTTTTTTTACTTTGCACATTTGTTTTGTTTCTTAAATTCTGCATAGAAGTGAGATCATATGGTATGTGTCTTTCTCTAACTGACTTAGTTCACTCAGCATTATACTCTCTAGCTCCATCCACATCGCTGCAAAAAAAAAAAAAAAAAAAAAAAAAAAAGACCCAGGTCCTATCAAGCCCTCATGTTGCTTGAGAAGCATGGCGGAGCTGTGGCCTTCTGCCAGTGACTCCTTATGACAGCAGCATCCTATGTGATCAAGGACCTCCTCAGGAATGCTCTGACGCCACCGCTTCCAGCAGCGCCAAGGAGTGAGAAAGAGGAGACTTTCCTGCCGAGTCTCGTAACTTCTTTTTATAATCCGCTTCTTACAATCTTCCCCATATATGACAATAGCTATTTTGCTGCCTCTGAACATTTCTCACGCTAACACGAAAATCACCAATCGTTTGTTATTTCCTTTTAAATCTTGTTTTATATCCATCCAGATGGTCTTGTAGGAACTTACAAAAACTTGTAGGTATTTTTTTTACCCTGAAAATACTGTGGTTAAAATAATAAACACTGTACTCTCTTAAAAGCCCAAATATTGCTGAATAGAGTGGGGACAAATAGTTCTGCATTTTACAAGTATATCAGTAAGGACTTGAGAGCAACAGCCCTACTGATGTCAAGTGAGGGAGCAGAGGCCTGTCCAGGGGGTTGGTTTTCCTTCCTGTAAGGATTTTTTGGAGGTCTGACCTCCTAATTCTGTCCTCTTGGTTTAAAGGCCCTCTCCCATGTGTGATCAGACAATCTTACTAATGATATTTCACTGGGTGTCTATCTTTTCCCTCTTGTTTGAGGAAGCCTCCAGTGACCATGAGTATACTAGAAACCCCAGCTTTGATGCTGGTTCCCGATCTCCTCCTGGTTGCTAATGCCCATTGGAGGAGAGGCAGGTTCGGGCCCTCATCTTTCTCTGCTACCTTCTCTCTTTCCTGTTTTCTTCTCATTGTGCAAATATACTCTTGTCTTTTCTAAGTTTTTTCCACCACCTATTCTTAACAAGTATGAGTCTCATGTTTTTCAGATCATTATTTCCATTTCAGGAGTGGGACATTTACATGAGACCCCTATTGCCTTAGAAGATATATAAATAAATACAAGTCTGTATAAACCTAAGGACCCCTGATAGTTGTAAAAAGTAATTGTGAGGCTAGCTCAGAAAGGATCAAAAGCTGAGGTGCTAATATTTTATCCTCTGAGATATTGAGTCCCCTGGTTTGACAATGAGAAGAGTTCTGCAGGACAGAACAGTCAGGATTTTACAGGGGAAGAAATCACTGTGTGCAACAATCCTGCCTGTCTTAGGAGACCGTGAAGATGAAGGTGACAAGGAATGGTGAGTAGTGGTGGTGAAGCCATGAAGTACCTTGAGTAAATGTTTTAAACAAGTATTGGTTAAGAGCTAACAAGGAGTAGACATGGTTTAGCACCTTAATTTCACAAAGGTTTGTTGAGCAGTTATTAATGTGCTGGTTGTTGTACAAATGCTGGGGTGTAAATCACAAGGTGGGTTTCTGCCCTCATGGAATTTACGGAATGGTTGGGGACAGACAAGTAAATCTGTGTGATAGTAGAACCAAGATAGATGTGAAGGGAATGGGTGGCATTGTGGAAGTCTGTCCTGAGTGTAAGGGAGTCACAGAGGCGGTCAATGAAATTGGCTGGTGTGATGGCTTCCTGGAGGGGATGTTTCAGCTGACTTTTGAAGGAAATTGCAGAATTTAACCAAAAGAATAAAGGAGCAAGACCTTTCTTTTTTTTTTTTTTTTTAATTTATTTCTAGGAGAGAGAGAGAGAGACAGCATGAGCAAGGAGGGTCAGAGAGAGAGGGAGATGCAGACTCTGAAACAGGCTCCAGGCTCTGAGCTGGCAGTCAGCACAGAGCCCGACGAGGGGCTCGAACCCACGAACCGCGAGATCATGACCTAAGCGAAAGTCAGTCGCTTAACCGACTAAGCCACCCAGGAGCCCCTGGAGCAAGACCTTTCTAATTGAAGGAACAATATGTGCTCAGATATTGCACACAGATTATAGCACTTTGGTGCATCTGGAAAGAAGGCACATAGGAGGAGCAGGGTAGTCATCTAGGTGGAGGAAGAGATAGAAATGGGGGATCTAGGGTGCTCAAGGGGCAAGTATGAACTTAACTTGCACACGCATAGGAATTCTCAAAAGATTTTTATTTTTTAACTAATTTAATTTACTTTTTAAATGTTTATTTTTGAGAAAGAGACAGAAAGTGAGCAGGGGAGGGGCAGAGATAGAGGGAGACACATAACTTGAAGCAAGCTCCAGACTCCAAGCTGTCAGCACAGAGCCTGACATGGGTCTCAAACCCACAAACTGTGAGATCATGACCTGAGCTGAAGTCAGATGCTTAACTGATTGAGCCACCCAAGCACCCTTCAAAAGATTTTTAAACCAGGAAGTAACATAATCAGATTTCTTTCTTTGGAAAGATCACCAATGGGCTTTTTATGTAATCATGAATTAACTTTAGGGCTAACTTCCTTAAGAACAAATTAGCTCCTAAATGCATACTCACATCCAGTTGAGTCGAGGCATTTGGGCACACATCTGTTTGGGAAGGGCTTCTAAGTAGTTATTAACCATAGACCTTTACACAAGGAAGATATTAATTAGAAACAAAATGATATGCCACTTTAAGAACAGCATTTTTACTATTTCCACAATTTGGAAACTCAGGCTAAAATAAATATATAGCAGGACAAATAATGTAAACATGACTATGTCTTCAAAATGGTCTCTACATATATGTATGGCATAGATTAGAAAACACATGTCAAAGAAACTGAGTGCAAAAGTATGATATATAACCTGGGAATAAATATTATATAATTTAATTTTATGAAATGAAACAAAAGTATGTATTAAGTAATAATTTTAAAGTTCATGGTAATTTTCCTTGTAAACTTCAAATTTGCAATCATTTCCAGCATCCTACATCCAAAGTCTTTTCTTAAGGGAAACATAAATCATTTACAGTATTAAGGGGTCACATCAGAAACTGCATTAAATCTAAGAAGTGACAGCAGGGGGCACTGGGGGAAAGAAAACAACCCATCAACATGTTAAGGTACACAATTAATTTATGATATTGTGGTCCCTTTTGACAAATGGAAAAATGATGATGCTATATGATGAACTATAAAGGAACATAATAATCCCTGCTGATAAATCATTCCAGCGTATTAATAAACAGTGAGAATGTAATTACGAGAACAGTTCTATCGGTGGGATGAAGGTTTTGGAACGTTTAGAGACTCTTGCAGGGCAAAGGCACATTTCCCTCTGTTAAAAATGTAGTCTAAGCTGAACTCCCAGGAGATTCTGATAGATTTAAGTGTAGTTAGGAGATAAAAACAAATACTCTCTTCGGCCAGCCACTGCGAGTAAAACATGTCTTAGGATAAAAGGAAATTCAAGGAAATCAAAAAGAGATCAACCAGTAGGCTTAAAACATACCATGAGCCACGGCTAGGAAGTCACAACAGTAACTGTGGCTGGACGTACAGGAAAGGTTTTGACTAATAAAAATGTTAACAGTCTTGAGTTTTTTAAAGCTCATTTTGTAAGCTAGTGTTAGATGTCATTGCAATTTATAGACGGATGTATTAAAGGGTAGATGAACACTTACAGGAAAAACAAGGACTTTAGTCCAGTAAACAACCGCTGGGAAATTCTGGTTATTGGATTATCATCTAGAATTCTGAAAAAATATCACAAACATTCCCAACATTAGAGACCTTTGTGAAATGAAACCAGGAAACAACAAAAGGCCCACACCAATCCTGCCTCCCCAATACCTGCTCTCCTCCTTCCTGCCCGTCCACACTGGGCTCCTCGTCCTCTTCCCTAAGAGTTCTTCCTAGCTCTTTCTCCAAATTTCCACCACTCCTGCCCCCAGCCCTTATGAGGGCTCCATCCTGATTGCTTTCTCTGAATGCATCCACCTCTCACTGGACTTAAAGATCAGAGATAGACCATTCCCCTCTGGATACCTGAGTCCAGCATAAGCTGAATTATTAATTGGCTGAATACAGGCTCCGTAAATGCTTTGACCTACTGATTGACTGAATGAAGAGTGGATGAAAAAAAATTCATAGGAAATCACAAATGGTTCTTTGGTCTCATGGTGTTTAAATGATGCATTTATAAGTTCTGTACAAAGAAACTCATTAGGAGCTCTCAGGATGAAATGAAAATATTAATATATTCAAATAACCATTTCTAACCATATATGGTGTTTTCCTAGAAAGAAGTAGACTAAAGAGAAATATGCCTTCTTTCCTCTTGTTGCCTTTGCAGCCATGTACCATTTCCTCTTACTCTCAGAGGCTCTTGAGAGTAGGATTTGGAGAAGGAAGTGACATTAAACACCTACAATATTCCAAGTGCTCTGCGTGTCAGTTTATATATGCCTTGTGATTTAATCCCCACAACATCACTCTTAAAAAGGAACTGTGATTATAGTTTACAGATGAAAAAAAAAAAACAGCACAGGAAGATTAAGAAAGTTGCCTGGAACATTAGCAGAGGCCCATAGTATACACAGGATCTGGATAAAGATGAAGTTCTGGCTTTTTCCACTAGACCCATCTGACCTACAGAAATGGGCTGACTGAAACAGTCTTCTAACTGACTGATGTTCATTTTTATGATGAAAACACAAATATCTGATATGAGACTCCTCAGGATAGAGCTGGTGGCTTGGCCAAGAAAGTGATGAAACACCACAAGCTACCGTATCTTCAGACTTTTCTATGAATGTTTTGGAAAACTAAAAGGTCCCTAACTTGCTTACTTTCCAGGTCAGTGGTTTTCAACAGAGGTCAGTTTTCCACCAGGGGACATTTGGGAATGTCTGGAGACATCTTTGGTTGTCACACCTCTGGGAATTGGGACTACTGGCATCTAGTGGGATAGAGACCACAGATGATGCTAAACATCTCCAAGTACGAAGGAACATCCCCTTTATCAAAGAACTATCTAGATGAAATGCCAATAGAGCTGAGGTTGAAAATGCTGGGATAGATAAACACTGGATGGACAGATGGCTCAGAAAGCCACCTGAAAAAAGCATGGCACAGATTCCTTTGCACACAGCTACCATTTGGCATGCCATTATCTGAATTGCTTGGGTAATGTGCTCCAGATTATGTGACAATCAGAAAAATGAGTATAATAAACAAGACACATAAATAGATAGAAACTATAAGCATTGATGTATATCATCAAGACTGATCTTCTGAAGAAAAAGCTAGAATACTTACAGCCAAGTTAGCTGATGTAAGTCTTTGAATACTCCGGGTCTGAGAGTTGTAATACAGTTGTGGCTGAGATATCTATAAATAGCATAAGCAAGTCAATTAGGCAAACTCAATAGTTCATTTTAGTCACATATAATCAGAATATGAGCCTCTGATGATGATTATGGAGTAAGGACATCTGTTACTGAAAGCACTCAACTGGATAAGAAGATGGGGAGAAATCAAGGAACAACCAAGAGATAGAGATAACCACAAGCCTAGTGTATATGACATCAGGGCCAGGCCTGCAAACTTGCCAAAAATAATGTGTTGGGATATTATATTTTGCTAAGAGTAGGCGATTTTTGCTTTTGTCCTTTTTGGTCACATCCCTAGTAGACTGGGATGTGTTTTAAGAAAATATATAGGTAAGTTAGCAAGGGTTAGAAAAAATAAAATGCTAAAATATTGTGGAAATGACCCAAACTTGAGAAGATCAGGGTTAGGAGAGCCTTTGTTTCTGTCATCTGGTAAAACTAGGAATCTTTTAATAATTCTTCAGGTTAATAACTCATCTAAGTGCATTCTGATAACTTATTTCTCCTATTTTGCTACAGCCAAGTCAAGCCCTTAAAAAGCGCCATTTCTACTCTTTTAATCTTTACTTAAAATTGTACTCATAATATAATTATAAAGAAGTTACTAACAATATTTGCAGGTTATGTAATCCAAAAAATGCTTTCCGTGATATGTGTGTTATACAATTATGCTGAAGAAATCTGGTAGGAATAAGATAGAAGAGCCATGTGATTATGGTATAGGTACTTTATCCAGTTGTGGAACATGGTCTCCACTTTATTCAACTAAGGACAGTTTGTGAAACTGGCTTATGAAGTCCCAAGTCCTATTCTTATGTTGGGTAGTAGTGGCATTGCTCAGGAGTTGGCTGTGAAGCTAGCCAACATTTTTGTCCCATTGGCAACTATGCAATGAGATTTGGGCATCTCTGGTTTGCACTGCTGAGCTACCATGTGATGAGTTTGAGGAGGGAAGGGGTCTTGTGTTGCAGTTTTTTTTATTCTGACTTGCAGGTGATGTTCACCATGTGAACCAGCCAGTCTCTCCCTGCTGAGCTTTATTCTTTCAGCACAGAGTTCTACCTTTAACTCCCCATTTCTCTTCATTCTATTCCCATGAAAAAAGGAGAGGGCAAGTCTTATCCGTTTCTATTTTGAGATGCCAAGCAAGGGGAAGCACAAAGGGATTTAGTGAGGTATTCAAGGTCACAAATGGTATCCATTGTTGAACTGGAGCTAGTACATCAACTTCAGCTCACAGGGTCATGATTTACTTAACCCCTGAAGCAATTTAGCAATATAGTATTGATTCAATAATAGCACTATTGGGAGTATCTAAGTAAAATAATTTCCATTTCCTGTGCTCATTATACAATGGGAGGTTAGCCTTGAATTCATATTTTCTAAAGGTATTTAGGAGCAGGAAATATCCACACTAATAATAGTGACTAATGACTACATAGTGTTTTGAATGGCTTCCCTATCTCTTATTTTGATTTAATTCAGTTCCTAAAATCTTACACAACACTTCCTTAATTGTTAGGATACTTCACTGCAAAACTATTAGTAGAACACGTACTCCTTTGGCATCTGGCTGTACTCTGAATTTATTGTACTATAACTATGCTCTGTCAAATCTTCCCAGCCTTTGAATCATGAAACCATTATAGGAGTGCCAGGATATCAGAGCCCTCAGCTTTCAAGGTAGCTAGGTAAAGCCAATATCAGCTCCCAGTTATCAGTAAACCCATTCATCCCAAGTTCAAACCCAAGTGTTGAACATATATTATCATTTTCTCTGTGTACCACCAAGTGGAAACAGTTGCTACTCCAGACCACATGCATTACATCCATAAGATACACAGAGCATCCGTTTCCATCTCTCCAAGTAAACTTGAAATCCATGGAGAACTCGTGTCATTCCCTGCCTTGTCCCCTGCACCGCATCTATGAGGAGATGCTCCCCAGTGTAGCACAAATTGTCATTGGGTTTTAAAGTTCTGCTATGAATAGAATGAATCTATATGGATCAATATTTGCTTTAACATTTCAAAGCCCTTGAAGTGATAAAATAAAATTAATGTAATGAATTATGTTACAATAGTAAGTGAAAATAGAAAAATAATATAATGCTATAATATATGTATATCAAAGTTCCTCTTAAGTGTAAAGTTTACTACCTAGCTAGTGTCATTTATATTTTATTCCAGATAAGAAATTCAAGGGGGGCTTTGTTGGCTCATCAGTTAAGTGTCTGACTCTTGGTTTCAGCTCAGGTCATGATCTCACTATTCGGGAGATGGAGCCTTGTACAGGGCTCTGCGATGACAGGGTGGGGCCTGCTTGGGATTCTCTCTGCCTCATTCTCTGCCCCTCCCCCACTTGTGCACATGCATACTGTCTCTCTCTATCCCCCAAAATAAATAAATAAACATTAAAAAAGATAATGAATTCAAAAGTGTAATGCACATTTTACCTACATGTTGTCAATCTTGAAGAGATGGGTACAGTCATAAATTGTGAGTTTGACTTTGTGCTTTCGATCTGCATGACTCACTGGATGTGTACAGCCTATCTGCCTTCCCTGACATGAGTTAAGACTCCAACACTTTAAATAATGAAGAGCCTCTAGTCTTCTGTTCGGCTTCAGCTTGCTGGCACCCCACAGAGAACAAGAGCTCCAGATCGCCTGTCTCAGACTTAGGCTACTGGATTTTAACTTGATACTGTAGTGTCCCTTTCTTTGTTGTAGAATAGTAGCTTGGTGAATATGAGGGGAAATTTGGAAACATAACAATTTGGCAAGTGGTGTCCACTTTTTATTCAGAGCTGAGATATGAGCCCATTTAATATACTTTCCACTGAATGGCTTTTCTAAGAATAACTTACTGGTTCATGAATTCCTGCTGTTTCAGCTGTCAGGACTTTTCAAGCAGAAACGCCAGGAATTTATGTACCTGAAACTAAAGCAAATAAATGCTTTAATGACATGCATGTTTATGGGATGTTTTTTAATGCAACATTTTGTATTCATGAGCCAGGCAGACTCCTTGAATTATATTTCGTTGCCAATGATTGTTTTGAACAAGAACCATCTTTAAGAAGAAATTGCTAATTTATATAAGGTTTTTCTCACAATGAGGAGAGCTGCTATTGGTTTCCACGGTAGTGGTGATAAAGCATTATAGTCACTGTTAAAGTATATTTTATTTCTCTGAAAGGTCATCTTAAATTTATTCCCCCCAACATTAGAAAGGCTTCATATTTTAAAAGATTATTAAAATGAATAATCTGATCAATAGTAAAAACGTTCGGGCATGTTCAACAACATTTATTCATTTGGCAATTAAAATTACATTTTGATTTATGAATTTATTCTTCTGGATGCCTAAATGACCTCAACGCGCTGCATATTTAGAACATTCTAGACCACAGACTCACTCAACGTTAGACTCAGTGATCTCTTCGGATATACTCCAATATGTAGTAAGATGAGCTTGATGTTAGTTCTGGGCAAAATCACAGAACAAGCTATTTAGGAAACTGCCTGTGAAAACCTCAAAGAGAAAGTGAACAGGGCATTTCATGAGAAACAAATCATGTCAGACTAAGTTGATTTTCTTCTTTGAAAAGCTGATCAGTCCAACACAAACATGTGGCTGACACTGTTTATATGTCTACCATGCATTGAGCAAGTGGTTTTATGATGTTCTTGTGGACAAAATAAAGAATAATACACATTGTTTGAAGGATGATGATGAAGGCTCTGGAAAGAGTATTTGGCACTGTCCTTTTCAATATTTTACTCCATGATTTGGGTAAAGATGTTTCATCCAATTTTCAGATGGCGTAATGCTGACCTCCTTGCATTCATATTTATATTCATATGAATATTCAGCATATTCATAGAGAATATGTTGAATTTTCCAAAAAGTTCTTTATAGTCTGATAAAAGAAGCTGAATCTAACAGGATGAAACTGATCTTATGGACCTACAACTAGCTCTCAAATGCCAAGTGCACAAATGCAGGATGGAGAAGCCATCACTTTGCAGAAACACCTATGGTATGGGATTGGGAATTTTAGAAGCATGATCACTAAGAGTTAAGAGTATGAAATAGCCACTAAAAAAATCAAATGTAAGCTTGGAGCATAAAGAGTTTACAATGGGAGTCTTGCTAGCCTTCTTCCGCTCAGCCCTGCCCGTGTCTCAGTGACAATATTATGTTTGTTCTAGATACTACATGAAAGGCAAATGTAGGTGAACATATACAGATTAGTGTCACCAGAATGATGATCGGATTTGAAACCACATCCTTTGGGGGAGAATTCTGCTTGAAGAGACTTGTGGAACATTCAGGGTGATAACAGCCAGCTTTAAGTATTTACAGTATGTAGAGAACTGATTGGGAATGTTCTGATCAGTTTCATGGGGGTAAGTCTAAGAAAAATTGGGAATGTTAAAGATACCTTAGGCAGTAGTAGAGTTACATGACAGAACAAAATTTATGAATGTATTCTTTGAAATTTATTCTCCTCAGCACACCCTCCTTCCCTTCCTGGCTTATTTTGCTCCATGGCTTTAATCAGTATCTATGTATTTTCTATTTTATTGCCCATTCTCCTCCATTGTGCCTCAAGCTCCATGAAGAGAGGGCTTTACATATGTGTTATTTACTGCTCTATCCTCAGTACCCAGAGCCTGGCAGGTATCAACAAATATTTGTTGAAAGAATTAATGAATATGTGGTTTTGTCAGCTTTTACCTTCCTGCTAAATGTTACCAAGAACCCATTTCTTCCTTCCCCAGGCACCTTTCCCTGGGGATCATTCTGGTTTTGCTACATTGCTATTTGGGCTGTTATAATGCAGAATAAGAAAGGAGAAGGTAAGAGTGGAAGGACAGGAAAGAAGTGCATGGCTGAGGCTGGTGGTTGGAAGAGGAGTGGCACGAGTGACTGAGGAGTAGGAGGAAAGAAGGTGGGGGTACTGGATTTAAGGAAGAATGGCTGAGATCATAAGCTGCTTTATGATATTTAAGTAACAAGTGTAAAGACCTTGAGTTATTTTCAAATCAAAGCTTGGTTAGTGGTCATTTTCATCAACAATAACAATATTCTGAGACTAGACTATGCAGTTAAGCTTCTAAAAGATCACAGTCAGAGGTTTGGCTTTAAGGTCAAATCTAAACTTGTCAGCTGGTTGCCTTTGAGCAAACAATCCCTAAGGTAGATATCCTCATTCCTAAAAGGATCTGGTAATGTCCACTCCCACCTCGCAGATCATGGGGATCAAAGTCCAAGTGAGAATTCCAAATGTTGGGATTTTTTGTAAACTTTAAAAGATGATAACAAATATAAGAAACTGTGCTGTACTTTGCCTATGATAAACACTTAGTGAATGTTTATTGATGAGAGTCTCCTATTCTTTTTTCTCTGAGCCTCTGGGAGAATTAACTTGCCTAGAAAGCATCAAATAGCACCTTGCATCAGGAGAGCTTCAGCTGGGTAATGATGTCACACCTAAGTTTTCTCAAGGTAGAAGTAAACATTTACTTGGAGAACTTTCCAGCTGATCTGGGCAATTAAGGTTAATCCCTATTTATTTCACTAGGAAAAATTGGGGCCTAGATTATCAAAATTAGTGATTTCATATTCTTTCTTTAAGTAGCTAGCTGATACTACAAGAGAAAAGTATTGACATAAATATAAATCAGTGATCCATGAAAGAATGTGGTAGGAGAAGTTGAAATTTAACTCTCCTTTGCTTGATTCTTTGATGATCTCTCTGCCTTCCCAGAAATCAAATTGTCCCAAACTAGAGGGCACATGGAGAGAAAGGAGTTCTGCATGGGACAGGGCAGTATGTGTTGGTAGAACATTCAGTCTGATGCTAGAACAATGTCTTTCCATCTCTACTTCCTGGTTATTGTAAAATAAACACTGCATTGGGCATCAGAAGCTATGGGCTCTAATTCTGGCTCTTTCACTTACTAGTTGTAGATCCTAATTAAAGTCTGCCATTGCAGACTTTAGTTACCTCAGGAATAATAAGAACATTTTATTAGAAATTCATAAAACTTCCATGACTCTAGATAACAGAATTGAAACAGGTACTCTACAACATAAATATTTTCCCTTCCTTTTCACTAGTGCCATTTTATTTTTCCTCCCTTCAGCATTATTCAGGAAATGCAAGAACAATATTGATTCACAAAATGAACATGTGGTGATTCCAAGAATTTCTAGTAAGATTAGCAACAGTATAGTTAGGATTTCCTCTCTAGAGGAATCTGGAAACCCAGAGTCCATGCACAGCTACTCCATTGTGGTGATGTCAACATGACAACATGCACCAGGATGGGGCAGAAAGTCCTGACTGCAGATAGCATTGACAAAGGTTGTAATCTAACCCAGGCATGATTATCTATGTTCACTTAATTATCTAGATTATTCTACCTCACTAATGGACTTCCTTCAGTGACTTCTTTACTTGGATGGGAAAATCTGTACCTAAATTCATGAACAGCATAGAATTTTGATGGCATTTTAAACCAAATAGGTTTGTCTGATATCAGCAAAGGATCAGATTATTTTTATTCTTTTTAACATGTCTAGATTTTAACATATTTCACATTTCTAGAAACTTTCTATGCTGACTGCCAAAGATAAAACAGTATGATTGTCCTGCTCAGGAGCCTTACAACATTACCTTGTTCATTTTTAAATCTAGTCTAATGATCCTATTGGCAATTGTAGAAACATGATCTCTTCATTATACCAGAGTTATTGGGCTCAGAGGGGCCACCATAAAGTAACAACTGACAGGAGATTTAATAGTCTCAATATCTTTATTCAAATAGAAGGTATCATATTCCACCAAAAGGAACATTCTTATTCCCTATCCAAGGTAATTTCCCATGGTAACTGCCCAATACTTTAATGTGGACAATTTGGGAAGTTAGTGCAGTCATCATAAGGTTGTTTGGTGAGCAGAGCATCAAAGTAAAGGAATCTCTATCAAAAGATAGTTCATGCAAATCATGGTGGAGATTGACCATCCTTCCCAGTCCTCCAGCACAGACATAGGGATTATGTCTCCCAGATCCTGGTTTTCTTTCTTGGAAGATGCTGGAAGCATCTTTTTTTTTTTTAATTTTTTAGCATTTATTCAGTTTTGAGAGACAGAGAATGAGTGGGGAAGGGGCAGAGAGAGAGGGAGACACAGAATCTGAAACAGGCTCTGAGCCATCAGCACAGAGCCTGATGTGGGGCTCGAACCCACAAACTGTGAGATCATGACCTGAGCAGAAGTCGGATGCTTAACCCACTGAGCCACCCAGGTGCCCCGGAAGATGCTGGAAGCATCTTGATACTTTGTTTCTCTCTGACTACCATTTCGTCACTGCCAACTGTGTTGTATTTATTAACATTTTCTTTCCTCAGATATGCTAATATCGCTGATTTCACTAAGATCGCAGTTTTTGTTCCTATTATCCTGGGAGGCAGTCTGTATCCTACCATTATGTGTTTTATTTATTTATTTTTTTAAGCATTTGCCCTTCTTTATTTTTTTTAATGTTTTTTTTTTAAATAGTTTATTGTCAAATTAGTTTCCACATAACGCTCAGTGCTCATCCCCACAAGTGCCCCCCTCCGTGCCCATCTCCCCCCTCCCTCCCACATCCATCAGTCCTCAGTTTGTTCTCAGCATTCAAGAGTCTCTCATGGTTTGCTCTCTCCCTTTCCCCCACCATTTCCCCCCTTCTTCTCCCCCTTGTTCCTCAGTTAAGTTCCTCCTAATCCTCCTATACGTGCAAACATATGATATTTGTCCTTCTCTGCCTGACTTATTTCGCTCAGCATAACACCCTCAAGGTCCATCCATGTTGCTACACATGGCCAGATTTCACCGATCTTTCCATGTTTTAGCTATTGTGGAGAGTGCTGCTATGAACATTGGGGTACATGTGCTCCTGTGCATCAGCATTTCTGTATCCCTTGGGTAAATTCCTAGCAGTGCTATTGCTGGGTCATAGGGGAGTTTTCTATTGTTAGTTTCCTGAGGAACCTCCACACTGTTTTCCAGAGGGGCTGTACCAGTTTACATTCCCACCAACAGTGTAGGAGGGTGCCCGTTTCTCCACATCCTCGTACCATTATGTGTTTTAAATGATCTGATCTTTCTTATCTAGTCTGACATTCCCCTTTAAAGTTAAGAAGTGCGTCTAGTGCCTCTGAATCTATCATGTCATTTTCCAAATGGGAAAACAGCATGGAATGGAACTATGTGTTTTCTTATTGAGGTGCCTGATCTCAACTTCAATTTAGTTCTCTAAAAATAATTTAAATAAAATTAATTCAACTACTTTAAATTATGAAATGGAAAGATAATGTGCTAGTTTTCAAAGCTTTAATTCTTAATCTTAATTACATTTGAAAAATAAATTTAATGATAAAGATTATTAAGCTTATGTTCCATTTTACTTAAAGATAAAAAGCATGTTAAACAAAACATCACAAAGACTTCATCATAAAAACACTATTAATAGCTACTTACATCTGTTTAAGTGCTGTGTATTTGATGAAAACTTTATCCGGAAGACTGTGAATTTTATTTTTCTTAAGAGACCTAAAATAACAGGTAAAGCAGACTTCATTATGGGTTTTATGACCAAGTGAATTTTTCCCTAGAAAGTGCATGCCTGAAAACAAGATATTTTTTGATACTCCATGCTACTTAACACACATTTGAAAATGACTCTAGTAACTGAAACTTTCTCACGTGAGAATGAGGAGTCCATAAGGCAAAATTAAAGCAGTTTGCAAGTATCTGACAAGTTTGGCCAGTCAGTATCATAGACTAGAATGTCTATTAAGATTTCACATCTTTACTCTCTGGGAAATTTAACAAAATACAACAAACAAAACAAAACAAAAAGTTCCTAACCAACTTGTGCATACTCAAATCATAACATGACTGCAAATTCCTGAGGCTCTCAAAACATTTTTGCAAAGTACAGACAAACTTGCACAGTGACAGTGTAGCCAGCTTCATGGGTCTTTCATTTCTTTGCAGGCTTGGACAATTACCACTATTTAAAATGAGGCAGAATAAGCTGGCGCTCTGCCTTTTTATTTTCATTTTTAGCTGTACAATACTTGCGTTTTAGTAAAAAATAATGAATCAGAAATTAACTGAAAACAGCACTCCAGACCAGAGACAATTGTGAGCTTCATGATAACCAGGTGAATCTATCACACGGTGTTTAAAAACTTGTTTTCCCTGGAGAAGAAGCATGTGGAATTCTCTGATAATTGGTGGTTTTAGAGGGAACTTTTATTATTTTGCTAACATACAACTAACACAAAACAGAACAAGAGGTTAGATTGGACTACATGGTTTTCATATGATTTCAGGGACAAATATCATCAAGATGTGAATTTTACTCACAGTAATGTCATATTGCTGGAAATCACTGGCACAGACTTTAAGCCAATATTTACACATTCCAATTCAGTTCCTTCACAGTCACAGGATTGTGGATACTGGTTTAGAACTAGGGAGTAAAAGAGTAGTATTTCACTGGGGAAAAAAATACTTTTCTTTAATTATGACCTCAACTCTAATAGCTGACATTGTTCTCTCCTCATTGAATGTATAATATTTACATCTTCAGCACCCTAATTTACAAAGGTCCATAATAAAAGCAAAGAAGAATTGCTCCTAGTCCAACTTAGACTAATGTGGCGTTTCATCTCAGCTCTAGCTTCCAGTGGTCATTTCAGAGGCACTTAATATGTGATTAGGAAGAAACCACAAAAAGGTTTAAATAGCACAAAAATGTGTAGTGAAGCAAGATTTAGTTCTCAATGAAAAACATTAGTACGACGAAGTTAATCTGCAGTGGGTATAACAGTAAATTTAATTTAATTGAATGCCACAAAGAGGTTCCTCCATAAATGCTTGTTGGTTAAAATTAAATTCAATTTTTCCCCATTTCAAACTTCTCCTAGAGCTGTGAGAAGAGACAGATGCAGTAGCCTCCATTGTGCCTTATTGAAATAAACCAAGTTGGGATACTGTCTTAGTTTGGTTCTTTGTTATTCATTACTATAAAGTTATAGTGGAAGATAAAAATGGTAAAGACGCTATAAAGCTGAGAAAACCAAAGATCTATCGATCTGAAACATTCAGGAGACAAAAATTCAGGATTTACTGTGAAGAAGCTTACATAATTATTAAGATAATGGCATATAAAGGGGTAATAAATCTATGGAGAAAATAGGTCAAATTGTCCAATGGGACAATCACTGTGTGTGTGTGTGTGTGTGTGTGAGAGAGAGAGAGAGAGAGAGAGAGTTGTGATATTTATAGAACACTTGATTTTGCCTCTGATCCTGTGGGTATTTGTTTTGATGGAGCTAAAAAAATGAGGATTCTTTTCCAATTTTTGTATTCATTATTATTATTTATTTAGATCTTTATATGTCCTTTCTAATTTCTCTGCTTCTTTCAATTCCTTTAACCAAACTTTCTAAAATCAATGTTACTGAATTTTAGTAAATTCAACAGATGCACAAAGTTTTGGAAGTATCATATATAAAGTTTTCAAAAATCTCTTTTTTATGAAGTTTTCAAGAATATCCTATGTTATAGGTTTATGCTATGAGCTCAACTTCTTAAAGCTCAGAATATTTACTTCAATGTTTATTGACTGCAAAAATGGTGTTTATGTTATTAGATTGAAAGCCTGGGGTTGGAAAGTCTTTATTTACCCAATAAAAGAATTTCATGTAGTCCAAGCTGGGATTGCCTAAACCAGCAATGTGAGCATAGCTACCTCACCTGCAAGTCAGTCATACCCACAGCCTCTGGATTCTTCTTCAGACATGCTTCTTGCACCTCTCTCTATCTCACTCTTCCAACTGGCATTTTGGGGGCTCAGATTCTTAGTACTGCTCTGGAGTATTGCAGGAAACATGAATGGTCAATCAGTATCTCTTTCACTGTTCTTTGCTCTCAACCTTGGGAAGGTGGACATTTGGGTTGGCTCATTCTCTGTTGTGGGGAGGCTGTCCTGTGCATTGTAGGATACTCAACAGCATCCTTGTCCTCTACATACTAGACGCCAGTAGCAACCTACCAGTTGTGACAACCCAAATATCTTTTGACATTGCCAAATGTTCTCTGGGGACAAAAGTTGTCTGGGGTTGAGATCCACTGTTTTAATCCATTCTCTACAATTCTGATGGAAGAATCACTCTCACAAATACTTCTTATCATGTACTTCTTCCTCTTCATTAAAAGAAAAGAAGCCCACAGTATCAGTGGTTGCCAACCATGTACAGCAGTGATCTGCACAATGGGATGTGTACAAGATGACCCATTATGGTTCAGGAAGAAAATATTAGAATTTACAGTTATGTTTATTTTTCATTTTAAGTTCTAATTTTTATATATGATATACCTGTGCATAATAAAGTATATAATAAGTGGTAATTATAAGCTAATATTATAAAGGTCATAATAGAATATTGATACGGTGTTTAATATATATGCACACATACTAATGTATGTATATATATATGTAAACCTACATAATTATCTCCATGTATACATTATACACATGTATGTAATATAGGTATATATAAAGACATGATTCTATCTTACAGGGTAGAGGCCAAAGTCCAAAGTGTACACCCAGAATCCTCTATGAGCTAGCCCCACCCTTTTAGGTCCATCTCAAGGTCATTGTATCTGTGGATCTTTCCCCACCCTTGGCACAGTCATCATTTCTTCCAACGGGCTTCCACATCCCCTTGTGCAAACATCAGCCCTCTTGTTTAGCATTATATTGTATCATCTCTGTTTCCATGAGGTTTTGTCTTTCCTGCTACAATGTGAAGTATTTGTGATTTGGGACCAAATCTTTGCACTCTCAGTCCTTAACATAGGGGCTGGGAAGTAGTTGGTGCTCAATATCTCTACTGAACAAAGTATCTAAAGGGAAAAAGATCTTTATTATTTATCATCATTATTCAGTATCTATCTATTCCCGCAATCATAGGCTACTACATAAAATGGGCATGAAAGGAGTATGTTGTTTTCTTCCATCTCTTCAGTCCCATGGCAGACAATAGAGCAGTTGACCACTGAAATACACTGAACTGAAACTGAAATTCTAAAGGGAATTGATCACACTACCCATATAAATCCATGCACCACGAATCATGTTGCTTGCAAAGCTGATACTGAGTCTTTGAATCAATACCACTTACAGCACTCCTGTGTTAATGCCACATAATTAGCATTTCCATGGACTGTGCCAAATATGGTCGCCCATCCACTAGTGTCTCCTGTGAAATGGTGATGAATATGTGTCAGTTATTCTAGAAATCAAATATCAAATTACAAAACAAAAGTATAAAAATTTGATAATGAAATCAATTAAAACTTTGTTTAAGTAACTGAATGGTAACATCAATGGTAAGGGACAAAAAGCTAGGCAAACATCTGGAGTTTTTCCCTTTTGGAAAACTAAAAATATTTCAAATGTATGAACCATAAAATATATATTGGAAATAGATAATTTTTTTACTACATATATCCATCTTGGAAAGTACTACTTGTTTCTAATGCTGAAAGTTTAAATGTTTGATATTAATTTTAAGGTCCTCAGAAGAAAATACAATCTGAATTGTTTTGTCATATACATACTGCTACATATGTATATGTAGACACATGTTTGATACATGTAATGACTAATAATAAAATATGTGTCACCTGACCTTTTTAATAAAGCAAAAACAAAGTTCTTTTTAATAAAGGACATCTAGTCCTATTGAGTAGAAAAATATTTTCTCAGTTTGTCAGAAGACCTAACCTGCTTATTTGCCAAATATCCTTCTCCTTTTCTGCAAGAAAATTATATTCTTATTAAAAAGGAAACCTAATTTTGAAGTATCATTACTTTAGCATATGCTATTACAATGGTAAGATACATATTATAATGTATGATAGTTAAGTTCCTACAAATAAAAAAGCAATTTATATAGTTCCCCACAGTTCCCTTTTGATCCCTGCAACCTATAACATTTCTATTTCTTATTAATACCCACAATGTTTTTAAAATGATTCTATTTGATGCCTTTACATGAATTATTTAATTTGTGTTTCAAACATCCTCATGAGGTAGATAAATATGCAAGGTCTCTGATCTGCATGCAGTGAAGAGGGAACACCAAAGATTTGATGGACTTGCCCACTGACATCCAGACAGCTGCCCCCATTATTGAGAAGTGATTGAACACCTACTATGTAACCTAACTATTTCAAGCTCTAATGACAACAAAATAAATAAGACACAAATAAGAACTCTTCTCAAGAAGTTCATGTCTACAGTGAGAAGTACAATGAAAAGACAAGGCAGTCCTTGGTATGACCATACAGGTACAGCCAGGATGCTATGGGAACAGAGAGAAAAGGTGCTTATCCTAGACCAGTGGTCTGGTGGTACAGCTTCAGCGTGGGGAGTGGGGCCGGGGAAGCCAAGCTTCTGAGGTGAAAGGGGTACCTCATCCTTTAGGATGAGTATGAATGATCCACAGGAGGTGAGGGCATAATATTCCATGAGAGGGAGCATACATGAATACTCAAGGGCAGGAAAGAAGATTCTAGAGACAGATGCCTGGCATTCCTGGACTTTGTGTCTCACTGATTGCTAGTTAGGTGGTGCCAAGGAATGGCTGTTCCCTGTGATAGAAAACCCGCAGGGTTCTTTCAGATTCAAGAGATCTGGGTTCTAGTGTCTACTCTCTCACTAACTAGTTATGTTAATTTGGCATAGTTTATTTAGGTAAAAATAAACAGGTTATATTAGACATATATGCACTCGCTGCATGCAGACCAAAATGGCCTGTAAGATTTTTGGTGATCTGGTCTCTGCTTACCTCCTCCTCCTCTATATCCTTGTTCACTCTGCTCAAGCCACGCTGGCTTTTTGGCCTCACAAACACATTGGCTTATTTCACTGAGTCTCAGGGTCTTTTTCACTTGCTGTTTCCTTTGCCTGCAACTCTGTTCCTCCACAATTTTTCATGGTTTGGTTTTCAATTTGAACGTTATAATCTCAGGGAAGTTTTCTGGTTGCCTTTTTAAAATAACCTTCACTTCAGGTCACTTTCTACCCCATCACCTTTTTTTCAAGACTTTACAATACTCATGATGCTCTAAAATACTTATTGTTTAAATAAATATTAATATTTAAATACATTTAATATTTAAATACATTTAATATTTAACTTATTTATATACAGGTTTATTGTCCTCCTTGTTCTCCAGGTCCACGTGAACTCCATGAAGGCAAGACCTCATCTCCTGTGAGCCTGCTGTGTCTGGGTGAGTCAGACAAGTATCTGGCACATAGTAGTCATTCAGTGTAGGTTTATTCAATGAATCAATTCTCTAGGCAGGGCCCATTCACACTTTATGGGTATTCGTGTAGCGGCACCAAACCACCAAGCCAAAAAGAGGTAGTCAATAGGAAGACATTTAAAATTAGAATATGAGCATTCAAGCAGCTTTCAAAATATGATTTCCATCTTTATCACATTTGTATTTCTGATTTAAGCAACCTCTACCTGTGAAAAATTCTAGTCATCATCACAAATAAATTGGGGAGTAATTATTTGTGTTACAGTAGGATTCCCCATAGAATATCAAATCATCTCTTCCCTTTCATTACACTTACTTGATTGATGCAAAGTTTGGGGGGCATTTACAAGGGGAGGTGTATGTTTAGAGCCCAGAGGGGGACTCACCACAATTGTCCTCATCAGCCTGGTTTCCGCAGTCATCCACACCATCACAGTGAAAAGCACGGGGTAAGCACTTGGTAAGATTCCCACAGGGAAAGTATCCTTTTGGGCACAAAGGAGTGATTGTACTGCCCTTGGTCAGTGCAAAATCTATGTGAAAGAGGAGAAAATAGTCTCATGTAATAGAAAGAAAGTGTTAATTTGGCCAAAATCTTTTTCTGGCATTCCCTTTATTTTTCAAAAGGATCCTATGAGTTAAGTTTGTCTGTTATCCATAGTGCACAGTTTCTTTGAATAATATTCTTAATTATAACATTCCAAACAATCATGGTCATATCTAACATAGCTATTCCAAGAATCAAGGTTGAGTTTTGAACTAATTTTAGGAAGGTAATAGTAAACAAAACTTAAATAATCATCTACTTTTGTATGGAATCAGAGAGTTGTCCGCTCTTGGAAACAGAAAGGTAAAGCCATGAGCTAAAAGAATTAAATAGATGGATTTATTTACTTATTAATCCTCTCTGAGAAGGATTTGAAGTGACATATATATATGTACAAAGACAGTTTAAGTGTGAATTAGAAATCAGGAACCACATTTGCATAAGGAGGGATAAATAGTGAGAATAATATCTAACCCTCATTGAGCTTATTGTGCCCCAGGCCGTTTGCACAAGTGGTTTATCTCAGGTATTCATTCAACCAAACTACGTATGGGTGATATTTTCCTTTATGTTTTAGGGATAAAGAAGTTAAACGCAGTCATCCATCTGGAAAAGCACAGAAGGTTTGTTCTCTATCCTTCTGCTATATTAAAAAACATTATACCACCAACCCAAGGAAAGTCCTGGCCATGATGCCAACCTTCTGTGGCATGGTTAGGAACACGTTACCCACACCCCCCACTCCCTTCAATTAGTTATAATGAACTGTAGTCATGCCTGAGTATACAGTCTCTCTTAGCTAATTTCTGTGAAGTTTTGTCTTGCAGCCTTTTAAAAAAAATACATGACTTCCACAATTGTATTTATGGAGAACATTTCCTTATTTTTTGGAAAGTACTCTTTCAAATTCAAAGATGTCTCTTGCATCTAAATTTCTAGAATGTTTTTGATCATCTTATCCACAGAATAATTTTGTCAAAGTCAATTATATTCATCTCTTCATTTTCTCGTTTAACCTAGCCACTATCAGCTCTTGTCTTCTCTTATGTTTCCTTCTCTTATGTTTTTAATCCATCCTCACAGAGGACTTATGCCCCCTTGAAATTCAGGTTCCCCTTCAATCGGTATCTTCATAACACAGTAGTTAACAGTGGTCTTCTGGGGTCAGGGGATAATTCAAATATGTGTATAGGGGAGGGAGGATATGAGAAATAAAAGATCTTTTATAAGAAACTATTTCTATTTCATAGAAAATAGTTTAACATCTTAGAAAACATTATATTTTGTATTGTCTACATTCACTTTGTCTAATTTTCCCTTTCATTTAAGAAATACAGTAATGCTAAAATAAATAAATAAATAAATAAATAAGAGCCTGGCCCTGTCTTGGAGACGACTGGACATTCCAACACACGCTCTACCGCAGAAGCTGCTGCTGCTGCATCTGCTACACCGTCTGTAGATGGGGAGGGTGGTTTTTGGATGTTTTTCTATCCATTGGATTTTTGCTCTTAGCAAAGCAAAAGATATTTTTCTCTGCTATTGTTGCAGTGGTAGATGAATGATTTACTATTAGTAATTTGGCATAAGACCAGTGAAGTCTGGTGATTTTAGAAAAGCTTTGCTGCCTGGCTCTGGGAGTTGGCTAGTTAAGCCTATTCACACGGGAGAGGCATACTGAGTCATAGATTTTTAAATCTCTTCTTTTTTGTAAAGACTTCTGTAGAGGGCAGGTTTATAAAAAGCTAGTAGTCCCCCCATGTTTGGAATATGAATGAGTGAGAGTCAATATATCTTAGTGTAGCAGCCTTGACATTTTTTATGATAGTAACTCACAGACATAGATCTTGTATTACAATTCAGCATACAAACAGGCACACACCGCAAACAAAATTTCTTGAAATACAACTTCCCTTTTACCATATGGGATGTACTCTGAGCATCACTATTCTATCATATTCATTCAAAATGGGATCACAATCCACTAAGTTGATCTCACTTTGGCTGAGGACCCATTATTCACAAGTATTTACTGGTGATGAGTGCTCTAGGTACTATCAGACCTGCCAGGGTTGATATTCTTTCTGCCACTTATGAGATTTCAAGAAAGCTACTTAATCTCCAAATTAGTTTTCTCACATTTAAAATAAAGTTCATGTAATATGGATGTGTTTCAGGAGGTGGACAAGATAATATTGTGAAATACTGGAGAGTTCCTGGCCTATGATAAGCCCTCAGTTAATGTTGGTGTGCAGGTAATTTCAACACAAGGTAAGAAAACAGGACTTTAAGAAGGAAACTCTAATGTAGAATGAAAGTTTGCTGTGCCTTACCATTGCAGGAGTTTGGATTTTTTTATGTGACTTCTAAGAAAACAATGACAGGGACTATAATAAAAATTTCCCTACCCATTCATGTTTTTCTATTTGAAACAGCATTTATGGTTTCTATTTTTAAGCAGCCTCAAGTTACTTTGAAAGCTAAGGGGAGGGGGGCTGTAAATGATAAATAAACAATGAAAATGTCCTTACAATCTAATAATAATAAAATTTTCTTAATGATCTAGAAGAGGTGATTAAACATTTGATTAAAGACAATTTTGAAAGAGAAAGTGGAGGCTGTGTAACATATTTTGAAGGCAAATATATTGTGTTCCTTTGTGGGTTTATCATGAAGATAACCTTGAGTTCCTTGAGGGTTGGACCCAACTAAATGCCCATCTCACAGAAGCAGATTCAAAGCAAGACAAGTAATCAATTGTCACAGACAAGAGGGATCAAGATTACTTCCTTGCCCCTGGAAAAAAAAATGGAACACATCTAGCAAGTTAGAGTGAGGGAAGGTGAATGGAAATACTGACCATGTGCCAACAGAACTTATCAATTGCATTTCTCATAATTCGCCATTCTGCATTCAAGAATGGCTTCTTCCTGAAGATATCCTCAAGGTATACATTTTATGTGGAAGGAAAAGAAATAAATGAAATCTGCTCCCTACCCCTTGCCCTCAGTATCCCAAATCCCTACTGTCCAAGTACCTGGTACTTACTTGGTGCTCAATATTTTTTTTTAGTGAACAAATGAATTAATAGATCATTTGGGAATAAAAATAATTGAAAGAAGATCCCCTTTCAAGATTTAAACTTCTCGAAGTTGCAAGCTTATACTTTTATATTAATAACAAAAATATTGTTTAGTCTTCCAAGTACTCCACTTACTACTTTTTCTGTCATTATATAATTTAAAAAACAATTAAGAATCCCTCCTATATTTGGCACATTCTGAAAAAGAATCAATAGCCATCAGTAGAAAGTGCATTCTGCTGTCTAGTCTTCCTGCCATCTGTGGAAGTGGAAAGACATAGCTTTTATTGAATCTTAGGGATTATTAAAATGGAGGATGCCTACATAAAAGCTATGTTGATAGCTTCTGCAGCAATTTCTGTGGGACCCCTGCCAAACACACAGCTGAGGGGAGGTTTGAACATGTGAGAGAAAATTGCTCAGTGAGTGCTTCTTCTTCTCTTTTCTGGTCAATATTCTGGGCATGTCTGTGCAAAGAGCTTTTTAAATGACTTCTTGATAGCCTTTTGAAGCCAACTGGACTGCTGCCCAAGGACATTTTTTGCTGCCTGCCAACACCTTTTTTGTGTAACTGGGAAGCAACAGGTGAAAAAGCTTTTTTAGGTCTTCAGTTTAAGAACCCATGAAGGTGTGCGAGCCCTTCTTTGCTTTCTCTGATTTCTTGCCAGTACGAGTCCTGCATGAAGCTAAAGAAAGCCCTTATCCCCTCAACCTAGTGTTCTGGCTAAGATTCTCTCCTCACTAATGCCAGAGATGACAGCTCTACAGTCCCAGGGGGGAACACAGGATATCCTGGCCAATGGGGCCATTTCCCAGACTGCACCACTCTTATCAGAGCTCAATTCAGATGTAGATGAAGCCTCTGCCATTGACTAAAGAGCCAGCTAGTCTTTACTATAAAGAGCAGCACCAGAAGAAACATTTAATGTGCAAAAAAATGTTACCTGATTGCCTGCTATATGCTAGGGCAACAGGTGAGACAATGCCCACTGCTATCCAGAGCTCAGGTGCTAGGATGTCTAAGAGGAACAGCAACTACATTTACAATGCAAAACAAAGGTGAATCCAGCTCATTCACAGAATCCACCTTCTAGAAGCTCTCCTATTTCTAGGAAGAGTAAGAGGATCTCCAAAAGCCCACCTTTGTGGGATGGATGATTTATTGTTTGTTTGAAAGTAACTAGTAAATTCTTTCTAAAACACTTTTATATTAAGGTGAGTGGGGAGATATTGGCCTCTTTTTTGGTGTTTTTTAAACTTAGAAACCTTATGTTGTTATGCTTCTGTTTGGTCTCCCCCTGCCCTGACAATATTGTGTGGCCATATCAACCAGTATGTATAGGATTCAGATTCAATTTCATTCATACATTTATCCACCTCCTTCTCATTTCAAAGATTTCTGCCTTAGCTGAATTTCTCTAAGCCCCTATTCTCTGTCATGTTCTTCTGGGACAAACCAACCATCTAAGGCTCTCAGGCCTGAGATGAATGTCCCTCAGGATCCCACTCACAAATTTTCTGCAGAAACTGTCACCCCATTTCCCTCTTCAGATGATTGTCCAATGTTTGAAACAAACAGATATGAGGAAACAATGTCAAACTAGCTGGAACAAGTATTGACTCAACACATGTTGATTTAAATTAGAAAACAAGAACTTCAGATTGTCAATACCATCATCAACAGGAATGGATTTCAGCTCCATGTCTCCCTTTGCCAGGTGCATTTATGTGGATTACGAATTGAATGTTGTGGCCCTTGATGGGTTATAAGGGATAGAAGGTCACAAGGAAGACTTCTACTACAAAAACATCTGTGCTACCCACTAATAAACTGCTTAAATTTCACCTTTAGAGATGGATTATTTTAGGTTAAAATATTGTCTCTTAGTATTTAAATAACTACATTGTTCTGTATGAGTTTGAGAGGCTACCTTATTCCTAAAACCTGCCTGGGCACAATGAACTCACAGAATGATCACTGTGGTGGGTAAAAGGAAGAACAGAAAAGGTGCCTGTGAAGATGAAGCCTGATGGAAACTTGGCATAGGAAATGTAGAGAGGAGAGGAAGTGGTCCATTTTCCCTTCTCCAGTCTCTCATCTAACTCATCCCAAATTTGCTGACTACTCTGTGTCAAGGGAATTTCACCAGCTATTCTTCCTCTTGGTGGCAATTCTCCCAAATTCTAGTTCCATCAACTTACAGATTTACCTACACACAAGACTGCTGCATGTGCCTGGCTAGGATGTATTTCACACAACATGGGACACCATTCAATAGACTGTTGGTGTTGAGCCACGTAAAAGCCACACCATACTCAGCTGAGGCCCTGGTGCTTCTTTTTTTGATGCACAAAGGATAAGGTCTCTTTTCCTGCCCGTAGTGAAACTGTCCATCTGTGTTCTAGATCCCATTTAACCTCATCTTCTCCAAATCTCTCTCTGTTAATTATTATCTGTCTCCTATATTTTAATATACTGTCTCTCCACTGGTTTATATTTTTATTTTTTAACAATATTTTTAATGTTTATTTGTTTGTCTCATTTTACAGAGAGAGTGTGTGTAAGCAGGGCAGAAGGGCAGAAGGAGAGAGCAAGAGAATCTTAAGCAGGCTCCATGATCAGCCCAGAGCCTGATGCAGGGCTCCATCCCACAACCCTGGGATCATGCCCTGAGCCAAAATCAAGAGTCCAATGCTCAATCAACTGAGTCACCCAGGTGCCCCTCCACTGGTTTTTAAATTAATGTTAATTTTATTCAGGTAGCTCTCATGTTCAAAACAAACAAACAAACCAGTCAAGCAAGCAACCAACCAATCCATCAACCCAAATCTTACTATATCCACAATAGAACTGAAATCTACTTCTCTCGGGGTGCCTGGGTGACTCAGTTGGTTAAGTGTTGGGCTTTGGCTCAGTTCATGATCTCACGGTTGGTGGGTTTGAGTCCCGCGTCAGGCTCTGTGCTGACAGCTAGCTCAGAGCCTAGAGCCTGCTTCAGATTCTGTGTCTCACTCTCTCTCTCTCACCCTCCCCTGCTCATGCTGTCTCTCTGTCTCTCTCTCTCAGAAATAAATAAAAACATTTTTAAAAAGAAAGAAATCTACTTCTCTCTTCAAAATTAAATTTCTCAGAAAAATCAAACAAGTCAATGTCTCCACTTCATCACCAACCTTCCTTCAACCCACAGCATTTGGTCTTGGCCTTACTACTCTGCTGAAAGTCTCCTATCAGAGTCATTAATGTCCCCTTTGTTACAAAATACAGTAGGTGTTTTATAGTCTTCATCTTACATAAATTTTTATAGCATTTGACACAGCCTAACTACAGCCACCAAGCTGAAACTATTTTTCCCATGGCTTGTGATGTTTCACTGCCTTGGTTTACTTCCTCTTCCATACTCTGTAAAGGTCCTGCCCCACTCCCATCTCAATGCACTGGCTCTTTTTTTTTTTTTTTTTTGTCAACACCCTAAAGATCACTGATAAACATTTGGTCAGAGATTTCTTAGATCATCAAATCAATTGAAGAATGTAGAGGGACCTACAACAAGTTACTAATATTTTAGTTTGTCAAATAAGAAAAAAAATTAAAAACCCTAAATTACTATGTATTATAATAATGATTTATAAGAAAAATAATATTTTATCATTCAAAATTATAAAAAACAAATCCACAGGAAAAAAGACAATCTTTAAAAGGAATAATATACTTAGCTCTATGAAAAATACTAACTTGTTTATGCTTGTGGACTGGTGAAACTTTCATTCCACTGACAGCAGTGGCCCAGAACACAGTGTTTGGAACTATGTGTGAGAAAATCGAATCTGGCAATGTTACAGGAATTCTTTAGAGAGCTTAGCCCTCTGGTCTATAACTCACAAATATTTTTGCCTGGTCTGCCATTCGTCATTAACTTTGCTTATGACAAGGGCTCCAGAGATGAATCTATCAGGTTCTGACTTTAACATAACTATGCAAACTAATAACAGAAGGTAACTTACTTGATTTAATAAAGGATATCTATAAAAACCAACAATATATAATATGCTTAATGGTGGATTTTTGAAGGCTTTCCCTTTGAGATTGGGAACAGGATAGCAATGTCCACTGTTACTATATCTATTCAACATTATACTGGGGGACTTAGCAAATGAGTGAGATGAGGTAAGTAAGTCAGTGGTTTAAATATTGAAGGAGAAGAAATAAAACTGTCATCATTTATGAATAATATGAGTGTGAACATAAAAATCCAAAATAATTAAATTTTAGTACTAGTAAATTTAGCAAAGTTTCTGAAAATCCATGTCATTTCTGTATGTCAGCAACAAATAATTAGACAATAAAATAAAAAAATAGCTTTTGCTATAGCATCACCAGTGTCATATATTTAGGAATAAATGTAATAAAAATCTGCAAGATACTTATGCAAAGTATATAAAATTATTGAGCGACATTAAAGACTTAAATAAATGGAGACTTAATATTTTAAAGATGTTAATTCCTCCCCCAATTGACCTACAACTTCAAAGCAATTACAATAGAAATCCAGCAGTGTGCATGTACACTGTGTAGAAATGAATAAGTTGTTTCTAAAAGGCATATGTTTCTGACAAGAAGAGCCAGGTCAGTTTGGAAGAAGGAGAACAAGGCAAGAGAACTTCTAAACTAAGATGGTATAATAATTTAGGCAAAGAGTGAAGATGGGGCAAAGGATGAACAATAGACTAATTGAATGGAATAGAAAGTTGAGAAAAAGACAGACAGATACGAACATTAATGTACGAACAAGTAGCACTACAGAGCAGTGGCTGTGGGTGGGCACAGCTAGGTGGATTATATATAAATACTAAAGGTAAAACAATAGAGTTTCTGAAAGATAATATGGGAAAAAGTCTTTGACTTTGGGGTAGAGACTTTTAAGGAGAATATAAAAAATAGAAAACAAAAACATTAATTGTTAAGGAAAAGAAAGCTAAATTAGGCTATATTAAAATTAAGAAATTCTATTAGAAAAAAAGTAAAAAGATACCATTAAGAAAGTGTAAAGGCAAGCTACAGAGTAGAAGATGTTTCAGAAACAACAGATGTTGGCCAAGAGGCGGAGGAAGGGGAACACTTTTGCACTCTTGGTGGGAATGCAAACTGGTGCAGCCACTCTGGAAAACAGTATGGAAGTTTTCTAAAAAATTAAAAACAGAGCCACCTTATGACCTGGCAATTGCACTACTAGGTATTTAGCCACAGGATACAAAAGTGCTGATTCAAAGAGGCACATGCATGCCAATGTTTATAGAAGCACTGTAAACAATAGCAAAATTATGGAAAGCCTAAAAGTCTATCAACTGAGGAATGGATGAAGAAAATATGGCATATATATATACACACAAACATACACACACACAATGGAATATTACTCAGCAATCAAAAAGAATGAAATCCTGCCATTTGAAACAGCATATTATACTAAGTGAAATAATTCATCAGAGAAAGATAAATTTCATATGATTTCACTCATATGTGGAATTTAAGAAACAAAACAGATGAAATAGGGAAAGTGGAGGAAAAATAAGATAAAAACAGGGAGGCAGACAAACCTTAAGAGACTTTTAAATGTAGAGAACAAACTGAGGGTTGTTGGCAGGGTGTTCAGTGGGGATGGGCTAAATGGGTGATGGGGATTAAGGAGAACACTTGTTGGGATGAGCACTGGGTGTTATATGTAAGTGATTAATCACTAAATTCTACTCCTGAAACCATTACTACACTACATTACTACAGCTACTACTATATGTTAACTAGCTTGGATTTAAGTAAAACTTTAAAAATTTTTTAACTAAAAAAAATAAAGTTTAAAGGCAAGCTACAGAGTAGAAGATATTCCAGAAAGTTTATAATTAGAATATGTGTGTGAGTGTGTGAATGTGTATGTGCATTTATGTGTGTGAGTGTGTATGTGTGAGTGTGCAGGGGTATGTTGGGGGGAAAGAGATCCTACGAAGTAATGAGGAAAATACGAACAATAAACAGAAAATGAGCAAGAGGCAACAGACACATAACAAAGCAGATAATACAAATATCCAAAAAACATTTGAAAAGGCATTAAATCACATTAGTAAGCATGGAAATGCAAATTAAAACTACAAGAAATATTACTACAGGTTACCAGCATGGCTATAATTTAAAAATCAGCAGGGCACCTGGGTGGTTCAGTTGGATAAGCGTGGGACTCTTGATTTTGGCTCAGTTCATGATCTTGAAGTTGTGAGATCAAGCCCCATATGAGGCTCTGCACTGAGCATGGGGCCTGCTTGGGATTCTCTTTCTCTCCCTCTCTCTCTCTCTCTAGTCCTCCTGCCTCCAAATAAATAAATAAGCTTAAAAAAAAACCATCGTAAACTATTTGGTGAGGATGTTAAGCTGTGCAAACTCTTACACACTGGTAGGGTGTTCCTTGGAGTTATTTCTTTGGGACACTATTTGTCATTATTTGGTAAACCTGAAGCCTTAAAAACCTGATGGGTCTGCAGTTTTACTTGCAGGCTTGTGGCCATAGAAATGCATGGACATGTGCACACAGAAACTCAGACAAGAAGATTCACGGAAGCATTCTTCATAACAGCCTCAAGCTGGAAACAACCCAAATATCCTTAAAAAATAAATTGGTAAAAATTGTGGTATATTTATCAGTGGCATACAATATGGTATTGAAAATGAGCAAACTAAATCAAAGTGATTTCAGATCAAGCAAAGGCAATGAATGGTTCTCCTTTATTTTTTTTTAATAATTTTTGTGGACTCTGTCAGGAACATGCTCCTGGCAGCCCTGACTCCTGTGGTAATAAGACAGTGAGGTTTCATTCAGCATGTGCTGTTCACTGCATCCAAAATGCCATTTCTCTCCTGTTTCTCTTCCTCACTGTTTATATACCCATTTCAAAAATTATTTCTGTGAGAACTTTAAGGATCCCCTCTAAAATCCCTTACAAGTATTAACCTTCTCTTTTCTTCTCCCAAAGCATCTTACACATATCTCTAATTATGATATTTTATGATTATAAAATATAATACATATTTTAATATGTATTATTATTATAGATATTTTACTTTATCCCATACTGTATTGTGCACCACTTATGGAGAGGAACTTATTTTACCAATTTTGTATTCCTCACTGCCTAACAAAGTTTTCCGTTTTTAGCACATACTATATGCCTCAAAATTGTTATGTAAACTGAATTAACATTTTCAGGGGTAGCCATGTTCCCTGAATTCCTATATGTGGACTGGGGGCACATAGCTACTTCGTGTCAGAAGTGTTGGCCAAACTTGAGTGTACATGTGCATATGGCATCCATATGGGTTAGGTACATCTAAAATCTTTATGTTCATTTCTT